TCTTGCTCTATCAAATAGCCTACGGCAAAAACGCAATTCTGACATATGGACTCTTTTCTGTAGTGAGTTATTGACGAAAACGCATTTTTTATTGTATTTGAACGCTCATCAATCTGCCTGAAACTTGTATTCTATGTTCCCAATAAATTATGTGCTCAGGGGATTCAATACGAGGACCCAATGAGAAAGTTACATACAGTTATATATCTCCCAAGTATTCGAGATTCGAAAAAAAACACTTGGTCTCAAACCAATATTTTTACATACTTACCTTAAAATAGTTCCAAGCAAATTTTAAACATTACTATACAAACCAACCCGGTTGATTTTTTCAGTTAAATAATTGTTTAAGCATCAAGCTTTTTGTTCTCTGGCACTTTTATATGTTATATGAATTGCACTGTATTTTAGATTTATAAATGATTCAATATCAAACCATGGGAATAGCGTAATGTCCGCAAACCACCTGCTTTGCCACATATTATATAACTGACAATTGTAAAAAAGATGAAAATCTTTCAGTTGTGTCAATTTGGCCTCGATGTGTTTTTTTAATTAAAGTACGGCAAGCATCGGTGATTCCATCTATCTGTGGCTTAGGTTATATGTCGTAAATCAAGATAGTTCAACCTAACGCAACGTTGCGTTATAACGCAATCTAATTCAAGATGGTGTAGTAAGTAGTTGATCGGCCGCCGGTCCTCCCGAAGTATGTGCGCCAAGATGGAGCACAACCTGAACATAGTATGTGTGATTGGGGGGCCATCTTGTTTCACATACTTCCGGAACACCCCCCGCCAACTCTCTTTTTGGTTTGCTGACAGTCAAATGGTTGAGTGTTTCATTACTTCAAAGTAAGTTACATTCAATTTGGAATGAAACAGAAAGAAAGCAATGGTTAACGGAAAATTTGCATTGAATTAAAAAAAAAAATTTCGAATTCAATGCATGCAAAGCAAAACTCTTTAACGTTATAAATAAATCTTAATTATGGTAAACTTTCTACAGAACACGAAGGCGCATTGAGGCTTGTTAACGGACGGAACAATAAAGAAGGCAGAGTGGAAATCTTCCATGCAGGAAAATGGGGAACAATATGCGACGTAAAATTCGAGATTGACGATGCGAATGCCGTTTGTTATACTTTGGGGTTTAGCGGAGCAAAGTTTGTTCTAGGGCGAGCACATTTTGGATCAGGATCTGGGCCTATATGGATTGCCTTCGATCATACCTGCAGCAAAACAAACACGGATTTTTACCTTTGCCATGGACCTTTTGGTGAAAATGAAGATCATAATGAAGATTATTGCGGCCATGAGAACGACGTTGCAGTAGCGTGCAATTAATGAGTTTGTACATCAAATTTAATATGTTAATCCCCGATTGTATCAAATCCAAAAAAAAAAGGTTTCATTTTGCAATATATATGAAATAAGGGTACTCCCGAAGTATGCGAACCAAGATGGCGGACACCGGAACGTAGTATGTGTACCAGGTTAAGCCATAATTTCAGGTACAAATACTACGGGAGTCACCTGGCTAGTGCTCGAACTCGTAATATAACTTATATAAGGAATATTGGAATAAAATTATGGTCTAACCCTAACCTGGTAGCTGGTACACATACTATGTTCCGGTGTCCGCCGTCTTGGTTCACATACTTCGGGAGTACCGAAACGAGTATAACACAGATTCTCCAGCAACCATATCGTATGGTATAGATTTTCGTATTAAACAGCAACAGTGTAATTCAATGCATTTTCTTAAAGAAATTAGCAATCTTTGATAATTAGCAATTTAAGATGTACAATTTTTTTGTTTTATTCATCATCTTCCATTACGAGACAACACGACTATGGGTGAAATAACTGCGAATTTGTCTTACCTATAGTTGACTAATGGACCTTACTTATTGACTTGTGCACACAGAAAATATTGAACCATATTGTGTATATTAAGTAATAAACTTGTCTTTTGTGTACGTACATCTTTGCGTATTACAATCTTTCTGCTTATCCCATTATTTTATAGCATTCAAATACATAATAAAAAAATTCTAAAATATCCACCCATTCGGACACGAACAATCCCTTGTATCAGTGTGTATACTTACAAAATAGGGCGCTCACGTAGTATTCGTATCAAGATGACGCACAACCTGCCAACCCTGACCTGGTACGCATACTATGTTCAGGTTGTGCGCCATCTTGGTACGAATACTACGGGAGCATATAGCGGCGCAAGATAAGTAGGCCTACTACAGATATAAATTACAAAGATAGTGGACCCCATACACATTTTTAACACCACATACGTGATGCAAATTTATATTCACAAGTATTTTAACGCTATTACAAATAGATCAGAAATAAATCAAAATGCGTTATAATACAATACCCTAACCATTGATTTCAACTGGGTCTTTCAACTGTGTTTTGTACTTTGGCACTCAGCCAGTCAAAATAATACACGAAAATTGCCAATTAGCATGTTCCCGATACAGTTGTTGCTGTTTAGCGTACCGGCAGCCTACTTACTGGTGCGGATGCGTGGTTTTGATTGTTTCGTTGTTTTATTTGCTACAATTTGTTACGTGTAAGCCCCGTATATCAAAGCTGTGCTTCACGTTAACGTAAATTCCTTTCTAATTTTCGAACTGAAACCAATATTTAGACAGACAGCGCGCGAACTCTCGATGGCAATATGGTCAATGAAGACAGTCGGGATGATTTTAAATGTAGGCCCCTAATGTAAAATCGGTGAATTTAAAATTAAAAAATTACAGCTATGGTCTTTGGAGGCGTCCCGCTTGGAGGTCACAAAAATATGGTATCCCTATGTTAAAATATACATACTCCCTAATTATAACATAGATTGCGTAGAGGAAATGTCACTACTTATGTAACTAATTAGGGTAACACATCAATGATTGCGCTTGTCATTTGTATCGCATAATAGAACTTCATAATAGATTCTCAACGTGTTAAGGAATTTTGCTTCCAACATCGTATTGGATGAACGCATTCACACCGTATGATCTGATTAATGTTACAATTTTATTAAGCTTCTGTTACACAGATTTTCTAACAAATACAGATGGTATTCATTCGACTTCAAATAGGAAATTACCACAAATTATTTTAAAATTTATTCTATGAATATGCCTAGTTCAACATTCGCTACCTCGTAACATTCAGAACAACGATAACATACGTTCAGTTGCAGTTACGCACAAGTTGCCAGACACAAAGGCTAAACGAATCACTTCCTCTGCCTTACGCGCGGTCAGCTGTGAGAGTCAAGTTTTGTTACATTTATTCACTTTTAGCTACGCCGCAAGTCATTCACCTGTAGCAAATAATTGTAATACAAATTGTGCTAACCTAATGAATGTTTCCCCGAACATCGACATAAAATACTTTAATAATGGTTCAATCTAAAAGCTGGTATAATGTGCGAGTCGCACTCACGACTATACGCACAGTTTAGGTAGTTTATGTGTGCATCATAGTCAGAGATGGACAAAGGCGAATAATATAATATTCCGAATACATTCTAAAATAAATTTTCGAATATGAAAAATTAAATATATTCTGAAATGGGTCTGTTCCACAAACGATATTCTTCAAGACAATTGTAAACTTGTAGAAATTGAATTGGGATTAATATTTTTTAATTAGTATTCGCTATTTCATTCTGACAATGATCACCTAATTTCTTGTCTATCATAAGATAATAAATGCCAAAAAATACATTTTCATACAAAATGATTCTAAATTAATCCTAAAATCAAGAATTTGCTAAATCAAACCAATTTCAAATATATGATCCGTTACACTGATTATAGTAGTAATAATAAAGAATATTGATATTAGTACAGCAAATAAAAAGTAAAATTCCTCCTCAAGAATAACAAAATTTCTCCCCGTGGAGGAATTCTCTCCCAGGTTGGAAAACGTTGGACTACTTGACTAAAATTAGCTACCAGTACTTTATATCAGGGGTGTGCAACCTGCGGCCCACGAGGAAAAACTGTGCGGCCCGCGGAGAAGTGCCAATTTTGAATGGTGTGCTCGCGAAAAGAGTTTTTAGTTTAGTTAATCTGGTACCTGCGAGTAATTCCAATCTGTTTGCGTCGCAAAGCCTATACCCGTACCTGAGTGGCACTGTTGTATATATATATAAGCAAAACGCTAGCCAAATCCTGCTGCAAAATACAAGATTTTATAAAAACGTGTTTCTCAATGAATTCGTTAAAAGTCGGTGTGACAAATTAAATTCAATTCTTCAGAAATTTCAAACCTGTACGCGATTAATTCTTTCTCTGGATCTTCAACCACGAACTTACGGACACAATTAGGATGCAACAAGGCAAAGAGCACAAGTGTCGTAAACAAATATTGTCTAAAACAGAAATATTTGTAGGCTGAAAATGACCATGGGTGCAAATGCCCGTGGATTTAAATGTTCGTAGGTACAAATTGCATGGGTGCAGATGCCCGTGGATGTATATGTAGATGCAAATTACATGGGTGCAAATATAAAAAGTAAAAATGTCTGGGGTGCGATCTACATACTAAAATCCGTGGGTTCATGTCCCCGTGGGTACAAATGGGCTGTTATCACGCGCTGTCCTCGTGTTCAGTGAATGATAATTCGTACCTCGCTAACCTAGAAAATTCCCTCAACTTATACCGAAATATCCACTCGAATATTATAGGGTTGACGTGTTCCATTATGATCATGTGATGGTTTGTGGTTAGGAGGGTAAAACGCTGACTTTATAACCAGTTAGATAAAACAATTGGAGAGCAATTTTACCCCAAAGTTTACGGTTTTTTATCAACAGAAAATGTATAGCATTTGTCATAATTTTTATGCCTTTCAAAGTTAAAGCGATTCAGTAAAAAATTTCTGTTTACCCTTTATAACGATAGTCCGCAATTTTTGAGAGCTCTATAATCGTACAACGTTGATAGCGAAGCGCTCATTTTGGACAACGCCCTTGCAAGGAGTTTGTCCTCGTCAATTTTTTGATTGAAAAAGGTTCTTGATGGCAGAAGAGCAGGTAAATGCATATAACACTGCTATAAAATTATGTATGTCCTGAATGGTGGCTTCTTTTATGTTGCTTTCTCAAAAATGTCGATTTAGCATAGTTTAGAACTTAAGACCAATCTTCTTATTTTTGTCAAATATAGTATAGTTTCAGAACTGCTTGATCTGGTAGCAGTAAATTCAATTAAAAATTCAAGTTTGATCAAAACAAATTCTTCATGTAAAACATAAATAAATAACACTCAGTGACTGAATTTGTTCCAGATCTAGCCCGGCTGCAACAAACGTTTTGCTAATCATTCAAATGCAGGGTGACGAACTACATTAGGTCTATGTCAGCCATATTCGAAAGTAATTCTTTAAAATTTTTCCTCAGTACTCCCACTGATATACTATCAAACTTTATAATACGTTCAAGTAAACGTTATTCTGTTATTAATGATTGTAGCCTATCGACTTTATTTTTTAAACAGGCTAACGTGTTTGCGACCATTACGGAAAACCGTGCTGGTATTGTTATCACATTCACAAACTCCGTCCAACGTGACTTGAGACTGGAATGCAATGTTGACGGAAGGTTACTACCGGATCACGGGTTTCATATTGAACCTGACGATACAATTCGTTTGGAATTCAGGACACTGGAAGGCAATATGCAAACTCAATACGTATATCGGAATGTCGCCATTGCAGGTGAGTCTTCGAATGGCTTCACAGAGCTAGGCCTGACATGGGTAAACCCCGGTCCGCGGGTCAAATCAGGCCAGCCGGATGCAATCTGGTCCGCCGGATGCTGCCATAAATTTATACTTTTAACCAATTCTGCATGCACTACCTAGTTGTCATTATTGAAATTTGTATGATGCAATAGGCTTGTTATATTATGGTCGTAGTCTGTGTAAGTTGTATTTTGGGTTTTCACAGAATTTCATGTTATGGGGACGTCACATTTTCTCGCTCACTCGATTCGACGGCGTGCTTTTCACACCTCTTTCTTTCGCCTCGTTCGATTGTCGTGTGCGGTCACGCGCACCATTGAGTTTCAATTTAGTGCTGACAAAGTTTTGTTAAGTTCCCCATAACGCTCTCTTAACGTTTTTTGTTCGTAGGTTACGCATTCCTGCCATCTAATTCAGTTTATCGATTCCCAATGGTTTCTAATAATCTGTCGCTAAATCCCTTTTCTGCGCCCTTATTCGTGAAGATTGATAGCTAAATTACATCGCCCGCAAGTCTAGATGGTCAAAATATTTGACCCCTAACCCCAAAACCTTGCCCACCCCTGAGCTAGGTCATAATGACAATTGAAAATGACGTGGTATATAAAATTCATCCCAAACAAGCAATTTTAATAAAATACAATTTTTTTACAATTCTCAGTAAATTGAATAACAAATTTCATTATTACAGGTCAGCAGATATTGCGACATTCTCCATTTTTGATCCCAGTTCCCGTAAGGGGAAGATACGATTACCATTTAATGAGATTTAGTATTCTTATTAACGGCGTGGAAATCAACGACTGCCCTTTCCAGCTGCGGCCACTTGGAGGTAGGCTGCTGATCTAATTATTTCCAATTTTCATGTATTAAAAAATCCTGATTCAAACTAAAAAAAGTAAATATATATATCAGATACTCTGTGACCTCAAACTTATAACAATTAAATTCTGAACGAATTTAACATATTCCCCGTGAGTGCGGCCTCGTTACTAAGATAAATGCATGTATTATTTCAAGGCAGATTAATACTTCTTACTTGTTATGTGTATAATCATTCATTTATCCTTTATTTTCACAGAACAAAACAGAATACAAGGCGGCGATCGCAATTTCTCTATTGGAAGTAAGTGTTTATTTTGTAAAATATCACTTCTCCTAAATTTACAATAATAGGTAAAAATATTTCATCTTTTCAGATTTGCATAGCACGAATGCAATTATTGGATCAACGTGCCAAAGGTAATTACGTTTTTTTTCCTGGTATGTTTGTTATGATGAAATGTCCATATTTGTGTAACAAGATTTAAAAAATGTATTCACCGTAGTAATTGTACATTCTACATTGTAGATATTATCACTCACAGAGTAATGGTGAAATGTATTTATGAAAAATTTTCTAGTCATTTCAGCTAATTGCTCCCTCTTTCTGTGGAATTTGCCAAATCCTATATTTCTCTATTTTATAGTTTGCTTTCGTCGAATCAAATGATTCCAGACGACGATGTGGATGGTTGGTCGGGAGATTCTGCTTCGAAACAACTTTCTTAGGAAGCTTTTTATATTTTGACAATTATTCGGACATCAACATTAAACATATGGATTTATATGGATTAAAAGAAATCTTTTAATCCATATAAATCCATATGTTTAATGTTGATGTCGTTGAATCAACAACGAGTTACGTTGCTTTAGTAGTCTATATCAGACTGATTGTTAATACAATGCTCAATCTAGAAGCATTCAAAGTGTAATTCCACGTTTTAGTGGAAATAATTATTGTTGTTATATATCTTACCTACGCCTTTTACATTGCCCTTTATTATTTCTATAAAAAAGTTTTATTTTTCTATCGATTTATTTTCATCATTATAATATGTTGCTATTCAACATTGTACCTATTTTGTAATTTCTATAACGAAATATATTTTTCTATCAATTCATTTTCATCATTAAAATGTGCTGCTATTTATTGTTGTACCTTTTTTGCTGTTTTTCTAATGAACTATAAATCCTTTTTCATTTTTGAGATTCTTTCTGGAGTCGTGCCAGATTTGAGTGTGGGTTATAGAAGATGAGTAGCAATACGTGGTTCAGTTGGGTAAAAATCTTCAGTCGAGAGAGTCGGGAAGGGGAATTTTTAAGGGGAAGAATTGAAGGGAAAAATAACAAAGGACAAGAATTGAATTGATTCACACAAATGTGACCATGCGCACAGAATACATCGCTATAATGTATGACAATAATGTTGACAAATATTATCACAGCGCTCGCGTGCGGAAAGGCTAACATTATCAAAATATGAGTCATCTCGTATGCAGCATTGAAATATTTAAAAAACATCGTATCTGGATTTAGAATGCCGCTGCAGGCATTTTCGACCTCTTGTAAAAAGAGAACAAAACTTGATACGGTCGCAAATTTTCGGAAGAATCCACTGTATGCGTATACACAAATAGAAATGGGCTGCGAACAACCTCAGGCAATCATTAATGTAAATGATACCTGTTGACATAAATTCAGCCGATTACAATAGAATAATCGAACCACTACAGGGATTTAAACGTTTAGTATTTTCTTGGAGCTTACTTGAATGGAATCGAAAGAATGAAAGCTAAGTTCAGCAGCAAATTAAAGTTTCTTTGCAGATAAATTCTCCCAGAAGCAAACCCAACGGACCTCTATTCATACATATTTGATATCAGACCAATTTGACTATATAATTACAATTTTGAATTGAGATGTTATCTGTTTTCGACCGGCAGCGGTCGAGTGGAGAATCTTTTTTATATCAGATATTTTTTTTATGCAGTATATATATATAATAGATTCTCTGATTGTCCGCCGTATTCATTCAAAATTTAACAAAGTTTTTGTGTCCTTTTTTAAGAGTGTGTTGATGGGAGTATAGAATCTTACATCATCATATATATTGTGAGTTACTGCGTTCCGCGGCTGGGTTATTTGATCTGCTGAGATAATCTTTTAACGTAAACTGGAGTGATTTTTGCAACAGTGCATTGGATTTATTGAAAAACAAGCTTAAGTGGGCAATTCAGTTTCGTCACAAGTACAATTATCTGAATTTTGGTGTATATCCGGTTTCATAGAAAGATAATACGGAGAAAATTGGCAGCAGATGTACGATGCTAATAATAGTAATAAGAATAATAGAGAGAATAACAGTAATTCTCGCCACAAACATCAAACTCCAAGATTTATTATTGCATTTTCAGTTGAAGCTTAGCTTGTTGTTATCTGCTGCATGAGTCCGTCCAACAGCACAGGTTCACATAGAACAAGAGAGCAATGCTCAAATATATGGACACGAAAGAATTGATGTAGTAATTAACGAAAAAGCGATTTTTCATGACAACAAGGAAAGAATTCTAAGAACAACATATTAAAAATAAAAATAAAACGATCCATAAGCACGTGTCCAATTTATACCATGTCGAGTATTGTAAATGCGTGGAGAAATTAGTTATCAGAAATAATCTTAGAATAATAACAACGAAGCCGTCACTGCAGTTAATCCGTCCTGCGCTAGTAACAATACCAATTATGAAATAGATAAGAATTTTGGATTTACTTACTTGACTTCAAATCAGCTATAGTCTATAACGATGTATTGGCAATTATGAAATTCTGATGAATGTAACTGTCCATGATGAAACAAAGCTTATCGAGCAAAAATAGTTTGAGATTGCGTACGGAAGCGTTGCGATGATTATTAGTTTGAGTTTTTTTCTAGATTTGTTTGCGAAAGAGCGAAATAGAAGTATTTTAAACCATAAGGATATTTAGTAATTTTGAGAATCGCAGAGAAAAAGAGCTTTCATTTTCATATTTTATAGACACCGACAACGTTCAATCGCTAATGATAAGCCTGTGTTTAAAATGTTTTTGTCGAGGATGTATAGACTATTTTCTGCATCGCCGAGCTCAAGTGCATGTACTTTGAATCGTCTTATAAAGATATCATGATTATTAAAAGAATTTAAAACTATTTTTTTTAACAGCCTACTAAGCGAAAGATAACATTGCCTCATTGTCATTGAAAAATCTGTCTAAGTTTTTATAAGAGTATTAAATCGTGAAATTATCAATTGACAGAATTGTTAGGCTATTTTTATTTATTTATTTATTGCAGAAGAAAAGTACGTGACAAGTACTGAAATAGTTTAATATAGCCCGTGAAGTCATTTCATTCGTTTATCCTAGTAATTTCTAGTTGCACCTGGCCTAATTGTTTCTTGGGCGGCATTAAGAATCTCAACTGACTCTCCTTAAGTCGAACCTGCTGTTTATATAACATCATAATAGTCCCTTTTGAAAACAACTATTCAAATAGCCACTGGTAACATTCTTCCATATATTAGTCGTAAATTTGATGATCAGAAATCATGAGTTTTGACCTTGGATGACATTTCTTCAGAAAACGAACGCATTATTGCGGCGTGACGTTCTGATAATTATCGTAAAAATGTAATTGTTTGTTTGTTTTCATTTTTAGATATACGTTATATTTCCATATTATCTCTAACCCTATCGTCACCAAATTGAGGCAATATTTTTCCATGAGCATGAATCATAAACTGATATTGCCTTCTACAAATCTTTGACCCATGTTTGACACGAAAGACGGAAGTAGTGACCATTGTAAATCTAAATTTATATATAAACGTCCTTAGATGTCATTGAAACCCACTGAGCTCTGTCACGATATTAGATGTTAAACTATTTTAACGACTTCTTATTAATTCCTTATTTAAACGTGCGTAAGTGTCAAACTGCAATAAAAGTGAACAGTCATAACATGTGTGCTATGTCACACACGAACTGTATATTTATATATATATATATATATAGCATCATAGGATGATAGAAAAATTCAATATTTTCATATCTTAATTGTTATGATAAAGGTATACCATTTCACTAATCGGAATTCAATGGATATCCACGGATTCTTGTTCAAATTATGTTTAGCTACAATTGTGTTACCGATGTGTAGATCGGTGAACACCACAATCACCAACGTTGAGATAAAAAACACGACGGGAACTTCTAGCATAACAGCAGAATTTCTGGAAAATACTTGTACAAAAAACATAACGGCACTTGCTTACAAAGAGGAATGTTGTGATTTTATAGTTGAGAGGTTCAGGTCATCATGGTATAAAGGCGGATATTATCTTACTGAGTATTTGTCAAATCTCCAAAAGTTGGGATGTAAAGAGTTCGAAAGCGAGTGTCAAATTCCTGTTTACAATTTTACAAACTTCACCAAATTGGTATACGATCGTTTTTGCAACCGAAATGCCCTACTGGCAAAATGTACAGAGGAATTATATCAAATATTGCGTAACTACCACTTTCGCACCTCAGACATATGGATTGGGAAAAACCTTGACTTGAAAATTACTGAGGAAATATGGAATAATTTAACTACGTCTATGGTACCTTCTCAAATGAAAATGAAAGATTTAAACAATCCCTGCGTTGAAGTCGCACTCTTTGACAGACCCTCGGGAGGCGTAGGAAGATTTCACGAAATCGTTCAGGTGTACACACCATTTTGCACAATGCAATGGAATGGTTACGACATAGAAACCGCCATGACAAGGCACGTATCGCCGTGGACCAGCATGTCACTGTGGTAAATATTTGTTTTCAAATTATTAAGTAATTGTATGTATAGCAAAAATGTATTATTTTGTCAGTGCTAGTAACTGAAATTAGACTGGTTGAATGTGTCAACACGCTTGTCGACATCCAAGTACCGGTACGTTTCAGTCACCACCCATTTTTGTGACTTCTGAATTGCAACCAAATCAACAGAACATAATTTTCAAAATAACCATTTTTTCATTGTCATCAACATTAACAAACAATTTTCAAATTACACCGCTATAAAATCTACCCGGTATGTGTTTCGAAGAAACTAGACTAGAAGAATGTTATAGTTTATGTCGTCACAATCAAGTTCTTTTTGGTTAAAACCAATAACTGCAGTTGCAGCCAGCGCACTGACGGATGTATAATTAAAAACGGGGCACCTTGTGGGGGTCACGAGTTCGTTGTGTTCTGGCCTGGTGGTCAGTCGAAGTCGTGAAGACGACGGTACTGGTGCTTTATTAAAAGTTAATATACGTATTACTTCATTTCGGCTGTCGTGTCCATATTTTTGAGCATTGCTTCCTTGTTATTCTGTCCTAAATCAAGCATTTTCGAGGGAATTCCAAGTATGTAATCTATATTTTAGTCTGAAGACTTTGTCCTGACTGTCTATTTTTCACAGGTGCCGCGGCAGTGTAATTATTTGCCAAGTGATAATAGCAATCCTTGGATTTGCGATCATAGTTGCCAACGTCATTGTTCTTTCTGTATATATGTCATCACCCGAGTTGAGAAACAGTCAGGGCATTTATAAATTGTCCATTGCAATTGGCGATTTATTTTCTGGGATTATTGTTATGCCAAATATCATTGTGTTCCACTATTGGATGTTTGTACACGAACGCCTAATGGGAAACATGATGGACGGAGAGTCCGAAAGAAGACATGCTGGAGGAGGTATTCGTTCATACATCCCTACTCCATACATCAACTTCGTCGGATTTTTCACAACATTTTCATTAACATTGTCCATTTATACACTTATAGTGGCAAGTGGGGATCGGTTTCTAGCTGTTTTCCGACCATTAAAATACAATAGAAGCAATGCTAAACGACACGCCAAATATGCATGTCTGGGAGTATGGATATTTGTTATCCTAATTTCGATAATACCTTTGGTATTCCCTACTCTTTCTTACAAAATTATTTTGGCGACGATGGTGACGTCCATAGGGCCAGCTGCACTTATTCTGGTATCAATCGCATTTGGAATTCCATTAATAATGCTGTGTCTAATCAACTGTTTCACATTTTATTCGGCGAAGCAACACGCCAGGGCGCGTGAGGATTTAAACAGGAGCATGTTAAGAAGAAACTCCGATAATGGAATTGAGAATCGTTTAAGACAGATTCTTGGACTCATGGTCAGCGTGTTTATTTCATGTGTTTTCCCGACATTTCTTCTTACCATTATGGCGATATTTTTTGGCAACATTCTCCACAGGAACCCAAACAAATTCAACTCTGAGGCAGCGACAATTTATCAATCAGTGCAGTACTGCGCCATTTTGTTATTGCTGAGTAACAGTCTTTGGAACTTTTTTATTTACAATTCAAGAGGAGAGGATTTTCGTAAAGCAGTCAAATCTCTAAAAATTGTGAAAGTTGTAATTACAACGGCCGGGTGTATCACACATTCTGCTCGTAGACTGAGTAAAGTTTCTGTGCATTACAGAAGAAGGAAAAGTCGGGGTTCTACTGATATCACCAGCGCGTCAAGGACGATTTCACTTCCGGAAGTGGAAACGACAATCGTTATGGCTACAAACTCAAATACCACATCTGGGACTAATAAACCAAATTCTCACAATAAACATGAATATGTCAACGGATTATACACCTGAATATCTCCGTCTATATCTGATCCGTCGCGGCAACAATGGAAAAAATGGACTAAAGGAGTTGAAACATTGATAAAGATTTTATCAACTTGCATGTTTTTCTACACATTTTATTTGAGATTTTGTTTCAGTTGTTTTCATTTTGTATATATAACGCTAATAACGAGAGAGCAATGCTTAAATACAGAGATACGGAGTGGTGTATTGGTATCAATAAGAAAGGCCTTAGCCAACTGAATGAGCAGTGAATTTGCTGAAATGATAAGACGGACAAGCGTAATGGGATAAACTGTTTTCATATATCATAAATATTGTTTCCCTGAGTTAAAATATAAACCAAATATGAGGTCCCATAGTACTACTGGGAAATAAAGTAAAATGATATAACCTTCTAGCGATCAACATTCGAAATAGATTGGTCGATTAGTTGAAAAGAGAGAACATATTATTCCATTTTTTTAGGTAATTAAAGGCGATTGATTAATTAGTTCTGGAGATCTTCTCACAAATAGGAAACGCAAATGTTCATAGCTGCATAGATCGTGTACAATAGTGTGTGTGACGAGTGAGTCCATTTATGTTATGTCGTTTTATCGCAGAGTTTTCTGTCACGAGATAAGTAACCAAGATATAACGTGCATTTTCACGAGCTGTATCACGCATAATTTTAAGTCATATCTTCAGAGAACACAAAAAGACAAGAAATATCACTGCACGATATTTTGGAGTAATATTTAATTGTTTACGTCAACTGTTAACGATTATCGTGCTATGACGTTACGTCCTTGAAGAGTTACATTTGATGATTAATATATTGTAAAGTAATAATCATGATCTTACATTTTGATCAAAGAAAATACAGTAAAGTTATTCGATAAATTTAGTGATGTGACTCCAAGATACATGACAAATATCTGCGGACAAGGAATTTCAAATCGAATGTTAGACTACTATAAGATTCGTAATGATATCACACCTTATGTTAGACATTAGAAGTCAATGACTGGTATAATGAAGGATAAAAAAATGTTGCAAATTGATATATAGCCATATTGTGCACAATACATATTCCAATTTGTGAATATAATGTAGATTAGTATTAGTCACAGTTTATGTTTACGGATTGGTTGTTTATTGTGCGGCAACGTACAACACAACCCAAAAGAAGCGAAGGCCAGCCTCTCCCGACGAGAAGAGAGCGAAAACTATTTTATCTCACTCCTCGTGAGTGGTCGGAGATCAGACACGGCCAAAACTGCCTACCGGTAAATCCAGGGTCTGGGAAAGAGCATACGGAGAAATATAAAAGTAATTAGTAAATAAACTTGACCAATATACATATAATAATTATGAAGTGTTAAAAATATCGTTCAACACAAAAATCTGTGTAGGGTTTCTTTCAAATATACAAATTAAGTATGGTAAATTGAAGAGATAAATTAGCCGTGGAAATAAAAGCATTCAATAAGAAGATGGAAAATTTTGCAACTGAAAAATAGTGTGTGAAATAATCAGGAACGCCCAAAACCTGGCTACATCAGTAATTTAAAAAAAAATTACCTCTTCAAATACGTAAGAGTATTGAAATATTGAGATTTTATTACTTTTTTGCATATAACTAAGTTACCGCGGTAAATGTTCCTGACTTGAAGTTGTCATCCATCTCGACCGCGTATTGATGATGCTCATCTTCTATACTCCTAACTCAAATACATCACGACTCCGGTAAAAAAAACAAAAATGAAAAGGTACTCCTACTTCATTAAAAAGACATGGAAATAGATACAATGATGACTGAAAACTCATTTTTATGATTAAAACTTCATGATTGATAGGATGTTTATCACATTTATGATTAACATAAATATATATAGTTATGGAACTTAGTAAAGCTTTAGGTAAGATTGGTGGAATTTAAAACAACGATAATCTTTTCCACTAAAACGAGGAAATACACTTTGAATGCTCCTAGATTCAGCATTGTATATATCAATAATTAGTCTAATATAGACTACAAAAGCAACGTAACTCGTTGATTAAATAGACCTTTACAGGCAAATTTTATGTTATAAAGGACTGATATAACGCAGTCTCGTATAACATAAAATCCGGATGAAAGTCTATTTGGTATTAAAAGTTCTAAGAAGGTTGTTCTGTAATCGAAGGTTGCGAACTGGCATCGTCGTCTGGAATCACTTGATTTGATGAAGGCAAACTATAAAACAGAGAAATAAACAATTGGACAAATTTCACAGAAAGGGAGAAATATTTTCATGGGATTGTTATCAAGCAAAACGTTAAAATGACTAGAAAAGTTTTCTTGAATACATTTCATAATTTCAGTGCGAGTGAAAATATTCACAAGTAGAATGTTATAGTTGCTACGGTAAATAAATATATTTTTTAATTTTTATAGACAGAAATGTACATTTTATCATAACTGAGATCTAGAAAATTTTTAAATTTTTACCTTTGGCACGTTGATCCAATAAATGCATTCGTGCTATGTACATCTGAGAATGAGAAATATTTTTACATAATGTAAAGTAAGGAGAATGTGACATTTTTAAGAAATGAACACTTACTTTCAATGAAAAAATTGTGATCGCCGCCCAGTATTCTGTTCTGTTCTGTGAAAATAAATGACAATTGAATGGTTATACATATAACAAGCAATAAGTATTAATCTGTCTTGATATAATACATGCGTTATTTATCTTAGTAAGGAGGCCGCCCTCACGAGGAATATGTAAAATTCGGTAAGAATTTAATGATTAGAAGTTTGTGGTCACAGAGCTGCCTGATACTGCCACAACCAAACTAGAACTGAATGAAAAGAAATATCTAAAGGAATTTGTTGAGATTGCGATTAAATTTAGTTTTGTCACGAGGTTCATTGTTTTTCACTTTGGCTTTTGTAACAATATAAATATTTTTCATAAAATGTAACTTTTCACGTTACACTTACATGACCCACCAGTCAAGGTGAGCAAAGTTTTTGGCCTCTGGTCCACAAACCATGCCCATACCTGTTCTAGAATAATCATGCCAAGCTATACGTTTGTGACAATGACCAAGTTTATTAATATATATATTTTTTAATTTGGGTTAAGATTTTTGGTAATGAAAACTGGAAATAATTAGATCAGCAGCCTACCTCCGAGTGGGCGCAGTTGGATGGGGCCGCCGTTGATTTCCACGCCGTTAATGAGGATACTAAATCTCATTAGATGGTAACTGTCTCTTCCTATTACGGCAACTGGGATTGGAAATGGAGAATGCAGCAATATCTGCTGACCTGAAATAATGAAATTTGTTATTTAATTTACTAAGAATATCAAAATCGTAAAATACAATATTGTATTTTATTGAAATTCCTTGTTTGAGATGGATTTTATAAACCACATTCTTGACACCGCGATTTACAATTGTCGCGATGACCTACCTAGTCCTATTAAGCCATTCGAAGACTCACCTGCGATGGGGACGTTCCGATATTCATACTGGGTTTGCATATTGCCGCGCAGAGTTCTGAATTCTAAACGAATTCTATCGCGGGGTTCAATATGAAACCCGTGATCCGGTAGTAATCTTCCGTCGACATTGCATTCCCGTCTCAAGTCACGTTGGACGGAATTTGTGAAAGTGATAACAATACCAGCACGGTTTTCCGTAATGGTCGCAAACACGTTAGCCTGTTGAAACAAATAGAGTTTAATTCGAAACAATCACTAATAACATTTATTTGAACATATTATAAAGTTCACGAGTATATAGTGGGAGTACTAACAGAAAAGATTTGGAGAATTACGATTACTTTCCAAAATAGCTCTATAGAACTAATTACCATGCAATTTACCACTCTAAATATGAATTCCAACAAATTCCAAAGCGAGTTCAGATAATGAATTTAATTATTTTCAATTTTTTATAGTTTGAAATTGAATTTTTAACCGTCTGTAGTTCTGTAACTATATCCGACATAAATAAGAAACCATCATTTTTGTCCCACATAGGTTTATTGTAGTTTATATTCATACCTGCTCTTCGCCCATAAAGAACCTTTATCAAATAACAAAAAGATGCTGGGAAGCGTCCGTAAGGGCGTTGTTGTCCGAAATGAAAACCAAACAATCGGCGTTGCACAATTATAAGGGCTCTTAGAAATTGCGGACTAAAGCTATAAAGAACAAACAGACATTTTTTCTGAAATCGAAAGCCATCCCATGACTACCATGGAACACGCCAACCTTCAAAAATCAAGTAGATATTTCGGTATTTGTTGAAGGAATTCCCCAGGTTGGCGAATTACGGAATATCATTCACTCAGCACGACCACAGAGCGTGATTTCTAATATATATAAATATATAGTTATAAAGCTTTGTTGGTTTGCCAACACAACAGGTAGTGTGAAATACACAAACTAAAACTAATTTGCTAACGCAGGAATGACTGGGGAAGCTCATTTAGTATAGCGGAAACAGAAATAGCGGAACATTTCTATTCTAAGTAATAGCACATTTGCCGCCACATATTTCAAAACCACAGATTTTATCATGCAGATTGTCAACCCACAAATATTTTGGTTTCAGACAAAATTTCACTTATTTTAATTATCTATATCTTGAAAAGCGAGATCGATAAAAAATTGTAAGTTTCATCCTGCTTACGCCCTAGAATCTTATCCGTATGAAAAACAGAAATATACAGACACAGACACAGCCACAAATATACATATCTTCATAGTTGATTTATCACACACGTAAAACTTGCTAATACAAGAAATTATAATTGAAGGTACGTAAGAGAGAAATTGAGAATGCAAGACATAGGTAAGCACGACTCATAAATTGTTTAGATTGTGCTTTGCTGCGACATAACATAAGTGCTTCTCCCCCTGCGAAGTGTTTTCCACATGGTCCGACTTTTGCTTGACTAAGTTGATGGATGTAAACCCAAATTAATCGGGTGCTTCGACAGTATGTGCACCAGGATAGGATTACGCTATAATTTTACTCGGATTTTCCTTATTTTAATTCTATTACGAGTTCGATGACTGTTTGTGTTAGCCAAGTGAATATCCACACCCCTGTCCATAGGCTTCAGTTTCCTTACACAACATGCAAAGTAGGCGAATAAAATTAGTTACCCTATATTGGTACACATACTTCTGGAGCGCCTTTAATAGCGAGCAGGTTTGCAACGAGTTCGTATCATTACAAGTTATGGCATTAGAATGAATGTCCACTCGCATCAAAGTCTCGTTCACTTTTCTAATGTATTCTAGAAGTTCTAAACCAGTGGTTTTCAACCGGGGTGGTGCCTGAACAGTCAAGGGGCTCCGCAGGTTTCCAATCAATAATTAATATATATGTGTATATTGTTTGTATATAAGCAATAACTATTGGGTGTGTTATCATCATTAAACATACCACACTACATTTCATCATGCCAGTATTATGTTCGCTTTTATACGATTCATACAATAAAAGGCAATTAAAATATTGTAGCCTACATGGGTTCTTCTAGCCTTTGGAATGTTTCATTGGAGTTCCTCTTCCCCAAAAAGATTAAATATCCTTGTTCCAGACAATATGGAAACCAAATATTGTGTACCTAGGTGGTGAACAAAGGAGCAATCACGCTGAAAGTGTTTATGTAAAGAAATGGCATTGTATTCTCCGGCCCTTCTTTTTATAGGCCTGTGGTATTCGGTAGATTGCGAAAACAACAATACAATTTTCATCTGATTCCACCTGTCAAATCGAAAATTGCACAACCTACAAGAGGAAACACAAATCGAACAGCCATTGAATATACGTTACTTAAGAACAATCGAGCTAGAGTGTAACCTGAATTGAACCACTTTCAAGAATAGATAAAACATAATATATAAAAGCTCAAATCAGGTGAGATCAAACGCATCTGATTACATGTTGTCAATCTGATTCAATTTCAAATAATAATAAAATAATGTTAAATTAAGCGTTACACTAGAGACATCACCAGAAGCTTCTACAGGTACCAGAAGGTACACTTGACAGCCTTTCAGTTCTTGCAGATGGTTGTTCCTTTTATCTCTTTCGTCATGGTTACCGGTGTGGCATGAATTGAAGTTTAGTTTATGTTCATCTATTCCCATTACTATCTGTGCCTCAATTCGTCACAATAAGATTTTGTATGTGTAAATTTGTACGTCATCTGAGACAAAATATAGAAGCGATATCTCTATGCGACCCGCTAGGGTGATTTGAGTCGCCCGCGACATAAAAAGATTGTAAGCAGAATTTTTTATAGGTTGGTTACGAATAACAATCATGCATTGTTCGGGCTTACTAAAATTGTTTACTTCAGCCTTCCGGTGACTATAGATAATTTCGATTTTTTAGTTTGCGATAATCTTTCAATGACGTTACGTCTTCAATGAGTTATATTTGATGATTAGTTATCGATCTTGATCGGTAAGTATGTTGATAGGTATATAGGTTAGATGCACGCGATATCTCACGAAAGCGAGGTTGAATCTGCTCCAAATTTTGCATGTGCATTCATCATATCTCGGACCAGAAGCCTATTGATTTTGGATGAATTAGGCTATGTGGTATAATTAGCGAGTTATCAATTAATTAGTGATGAGACACGCGGTGTCACTATGGAGTGATGAATCGAAACCGCAGTTTCGATCGACAAGTCTTCGGTCTCTGACCGATATTCTCGTTAATATATTGTAACGTAATAAACATGATCTTACATTTGAGCAAAGAATATACAATAAAGTTATTCGATAAATTTAATGATGTGGCTCCTACATACATATATTCATAGTATTTAGGTCAAATTTCTGCAGACGAGGGATTTTAAACCGAATGTTAGACTACTATAAGATTTTTTATGATATCACACGTTATGCCAAAAAAAAAACATGACATGAAAAATAAATGATAAGAATAAATGTTACAATTTGATAATATATATAACTATATTGGCAACGTATTCCAATTTGTAAATATAATGTAGTATTAGTAATAATAGGTAAATGGATTTGACTTTGATGCATATATTTATAATACATCAGGTATGAAATGCTAATAATAACATTCAAAACAAGAATCTATGTCTCTGTTATGTTGCATGATCATGTTTTTATTACATCGAACCAGCTAAAAACATCCAGAAAAGGCTTTTTCAAAAATGATCAAAAAGAAACGTGAAAAGGTGAATACAAACCAATGATTAAATATTTGAACACGGAGATGGTGCTGTCATCGTGAGCCCAGTCAACATTGAAACCCAGACCAAGCTATAACGTTCTTTTATCAGCAAGATGACAATATTGAGGTAATAATTGAAAATTTAGCAGCCGATCAGATATTTTCCTCACTCGGACAGATTTTCAGGCATGCTTGTAAACAAAAGCGCTCTTGTGTGCTATTTGTAAGTTTTCAATTGTGTTGTCGAAATTTATAAACCAAATTGCCATTTTGTCTTTATGAAGTTTCAATTCAGTTGCAGTAATCAAATATTAGTCTCCCCCAAAACTGCGATAGACTACTCTAAAATTAGCTATCAGTACTTTTGAATGGAAAGTGGTTAAATCATATGAAATCTGAATGATGGTTTAAACATGTAAACCAGTTTATACGCTCTAACTTCTAACACGAAAAAACATTCTCAAAATAAGTGTCACCTATTTTGCAAAGGTAAAGTTAGGAATGAAATTTTGAGGTTCAAAGGTCAGGAAAACATTCGTTTTTCGACATGAAGCGTACTTTTGGATCGTTTTAGGAATTGGTATCGTTGACGAAACAAATGGTTTTTTTGCAACTATGGTTCAAAAACAGCTTTGATGCTGCACATGCAAACAATCATGAAGCGTTTATGGAAAAAGTAACAAATTTTGTACAATGTACTAGGCTTGCACGTAATTTACGGATTTACGGAATTACGTAATTATTTGGAGTTACGGAAGGGAAGTTACGAATTACGTAAAGTCGTAATTATTGCATTGAAACGAGCTTTCTTCAAAGCAGTCAATTTCGTCGATTGCGAAAAATGAAAGCTCAACAAGTAGAAGAAGTTAGAGTTCCGGTATTCGCAGCCGTTTTTCTCTCTCTTGTTACGTAGGTGAAGGAAGGCATGCCGCGTTGCCATTTACTAACCTATTATCAACTTATCTGGCGTGGCCAATGTAAATTATTAGTTAGTTAATGGGGGAAGAACTGAGTAGGGTCGTTTGACGTCAACACACCTGGTTTTAACTTCTCCCGCAACTTAACCATAGATAAGGGATAGAATTGTGTTAAGACCGATGGACGCTAACACGCCCGGTTTCAACTTCTTCGGGTGAAATGACTAATGAACGCAGGAGATCAATCTATCAAACATGGCCTATCAAACATGCTATCGCGACGAATTGGAACCAAATTGGCGAAAAGAGCGATTGATCACTCGCGCCAATACCTCGCCGTGATAATTAATGTCGCGCTTATCAAATAGCAATTTGACGACAAAAGAGAGATTGCGTAATGAACCAAAACGACGGATTCCTCGTGGACCGTTGAAAATTTAACTGCTATCATATATAATCAAATATGAGCCTGTGTGTTTATTCTGTGCGAGATCCATTTTCTATTACAAAATCTTGATGTTCTGTTAACGGTTTTATCTTATATATCAGTCCGGACTTGGCCGTGCTCATGATGTTTTTCACAATTCCTCTCAATATTTCGGCCATATATGATTAACTGTCTTACCAAATGCGGCAACTTATTTTGATTTATCGTCCACTTGAATACCACCGGCACTCGACCAAACTTTTGTCAATCTTGGCCGATAGGATCGCCGACTTGAGTTAGCAAATGAATGTTGTGAGTGTAAAATAAATGTCACAAAATGCATTGTTTTGCGATATAACTTTGTATTTTCGGAGAAGGCATGTCATATAAGTTCGGTATTTAAATTATACGCAAATAAATAATATTTGATCTAAATTTATCGCAAATAATGTTATAAACATTCAGTCCGCGAAATGATTGAATGTAAAATGAAGCATGGTAATCGGAATATCGTCAATAAGTCGACATCAATAATTATTATTATAAAAATGCTAACAAGGCATTAATGTCGGATAATGCAGAAAACGCTGCAAAAACAAGTCTTCGTCGCGAGGAAATCGCAAGTATGGTAATCAAATGAGAGAATACGCTCGTCGTTGGTTAATAAATTAGAAACCCGTAATTTTTATTCAGTACTAAGGTGGTTTTAAAAAACTATCGTTTCCATAAATATCCGTATACCAGTGTCGGTAATGATAAAATAAAATTGATCGCATAAAAATGGGACGGTTAATTTGCGAAGGTGATAAAGAAAAACCAAAGCTAACACAAAAGATAAAAATCAGAATAAAATTTATTTGAATTCACTCCTTGATAGTTGTCTTTAACATCTGCCGACGGCGTGTAGTACTGCCAAGAATATGAAAACCCAACTTCAATGTCCCATTCGGAAAAGAAGTGGATTCAATTGGTTGTTATGATAGGTTTAATGCGTGGAAAAATATCGCAATTACGGGGTCATTACGTAATTGATTTTGCCGTAATTACGGAATTGATTTTTGTCAATTACGTGCAAGCCTACAATGTACATAAATGTACGATGCTCTTGAAACTGTACACCTGCCTAATATAGGGATGTTATATCTCTGGCCAAGTTGTCTACTGTTTTGCACGTTTTGAGGATGATCCAAGACCAGATCTTTGTTCTTTACGTTCTTTCATCTGTTTCACTTTGCTTCCAATTTTTTCTCTCACAATCTAAATATACCAATTCACTGTTTGTTATGATTGATTCAAGATAAGATAATCAATTAAAACGAAATAGGACAACAATGGGAGTTTGTGATGTTTTCAGTCAGACTCTTCTTTTCGAAATCTCCGGAGCCAGATTCGACTTGTTGTATTCCCCATCGAAATTCAATACTTTTAATGATAATAATCGAAGCCAAATTTTTCTACAGAAACTAAGTAAAATATTTGACCGAGACTTTCTAAATACCACCAAGTTTTGTATTTCTAAAATTTTAATTTCCCTAAAACACAGAGTCCTGAGTCGAAATCAAATATATTTACCCCGGGAATCGATTGTAGAATTCTCTAGACTCCGCTGCCCTGCCAAAAACACAGTATTTCTATAGCAATCTGTGGTTGATTGCTCATATAGCGTTGTTCAGTGCAAAAGTGAGAAATCTTTTTATAAAACTTATTTTACCGAGTAGGTTGAACCCTCTAATTAGATTTCCAACTCCTAATTATTGCTTAACTATGAAACTTACATCCATGTTGTTGACGATGTTAAATCTCATCAATTCTCTCAGTCGATCAAAATTCAAAGGACTAAATGAAAGTCGTAATGTTCCGAAATCTGAACTTTCCGGAAATATGGAGAAATCGGTGAATTTCACTTTTCCAGAATCTTAATATAAAAATAATAGGTAATTAATAATAGTTAGTTAATAATAGTTAATTAATTGTGTTGAGCAAGAGACCAATGTTCAAATATATGAAGTAATCACATTACAGTAGTAACTTATGTGACTGGTCATTCGAATGAAAATTACGGATTAAGTCCAGCAACGTTTACTCCCGCACAGGTAAGATTTCAGCTGAGCACCTGTTTTGCCGGAAAGGTGACATGACGGGAATGGTGATGCAATCAATATAAACAAAACAGGAGACCCACCGAAGTGTTTCATCCGGCCCACTTGTGTCTTCTAAAATTACGACCTTAGTATATATAGATATAAATTTTCGTTGAAAATATCGATGAAAATTACGTCCTAATGACATTGATTGTTACATTATGCTTCTCATTATTATATAAACGTTAGCCTAGCTCAGTGGTTCCCAAACTAGGGTCCGCGGACCTTTTGGGGTCCGTGAAGCACTTTCCGGTGGTCCGCAAAAGAAATCTGTTATATGGCTCAAAGTTTGATAATGCAAAAATTAACGGCTTAAATTTGGAAAGACACATTTATCGCCTTTTGATGCTTTACAATCTCTGCTGAGGACACTGATTCTACACGTTCTGTTTCGATTACGCTTTCCCAATTGTGACGTCACAAAGCTATGGCAGCTCTGCCACGAACAAACCGCGGCGTCTCATGCCATGGTTTAAAAGCGCTATAATTTAGTAATCAGTATTATCGGCATATTAACAAAGTCATGTGCCAGATTTTAGTTTAATATACAGAATTTTAAATCTGGAACCAAACCTCAAATCCATTAAAACTTTATCGATAAAAAAAGTACCAACCTACTCATTATTTGTCACCAACAGGGGCAGCCCTGCCAATACATTCGACATGCCTTGGTTACGGCATCAAAATTTTACCCGACATGGTTTTTTAATTTGCTGCCGTGGTACCGGTTAGTGGCAGCTAAAAAGTCAGTTGGCGTGGTTTGGCCGGAGCTCCAGAAGTAATCCATGTGCACCAAGATGGCGCACAACCTGAACATGGTATTGTGTACCGGTTAGGGTTCAGGTCTTGCGACATCTTGGTACATATGCTTCTGGAGCGCCGTTTAGCCATAGCGGCCATTGTTTGGAAATCCCGCTAAATACTTAAAATTGCACTTGGAGGTGTAGATGGCGCTGCCTTTTTGCATGCTTGTTGTTATAGGAGAGAATTACAGTAGGTATTTTATAAAGTATGCCACTCCGTTCCTAAATGCTGTTTTACGCTTTTGTTTTGAAAGGTAGATAGCGGTAAGTATAGCGCAGTCAGAGAGGCACTACGTTTTAGTTTTTAGATGTCAATTTTAGTCTTTGACACACGGTAACGGTAGGCATATATTTTTACGTTTTCAATACTGTATTATCAATTTTAAAATGTCTTCTAAAATTAAAATTGAGATAATCGTATGTAATTTTATCGTGATAAACGCAGGTGAAGATATGTTTTGAACTACACCGTGTGGAGCATTTATTTTTGTTTTGATCTTGTTTTATGTGATATCTTTCTGTCTTTCTTTGATAATGTTTTATTTTAGTCAATTAGTGCACAGGGCCGCGAAACAAAAACAAAATTGCGAGGGGTCCGTCAGACAATTTTTTTAAAAAAGTTTGGGAACCACTGGCCTAGCTGTTGGACAAGCTATTGTAAATAAACTGTTTTCTATTCATAGCTTTTCATATCGAGTTTTGAGCGTCCGGTCCAGTAACCAAGTCTATTTTTTGTAACTGGTCCACCCAGAAAAGTAATTGCCCATCCCTGTCTTGCCCTGTAAATTATTCAAATTCGTATCTATAAAAGGTAATATACTTAACAGATGAAGATCGTTAACTACTTACCAACATCGTCAGGTGTCGGATATCCGGTTCTTCTGTGCGGATTTTTTTGTTCTTTAAACTTTTTATCAGCCATTGTAAACCATAACACCATAGGACAATCAGGGTCTTCCGTGTCTTCAAAAAGGTAAAATTCTCTGAATGGATCTTCAGCTATTTTTTCGATACTTATTCGCGGAAATTTTATTCCGTGGTCGTAGATTTGACTCTGCACCGTTGCGAAAAGCTAAAAAAAAACTCAAATTTAATTTATTCACTATTTCCCAAAAGATTAGAAAATAATGAAATCCCAGACAAACAGAGAAATACAGAAAATAGGTGTTCCAAATATTTCATATCCCACTTGCCTCACATTGTCCCAATTGTATGAATTTCACTTCACATGACTATACTCAAGCCTTCTGCCAAGTGGGACATGTGTGAAACAAGTGTACATTAACCTCGACACCCAAAAATAGATCAAAACTATCAAAGTTTAAAATAGTTATTTTATCCCCAAAAATTGATAACGACATATTCATTTAATTGTATTTAATTTAATTTTTTTTAAATATTTTTGTAGTTCTATAAGAAAGCACAATGTTGAATATATCATAAAATATTCATAACTAGGCATTGTCAAGAGCAGAAAACTCTATTTACTAAACTTTTACAATCACATCCCTATTTTTAGCTATTGAGTCTTTAGTCAAGCGAGAAAATACATAAAGTGTATCTTTTGAGACAATTGGGATTAACCCTTAAACTTGTCTTCTTACATGTAAAACCTTCAAATATTATGCTAGATATAGCGATGGATATATGGTCCAAATCGCCATTGGAATGTCATCTTCCGCAGAAGACATATTAGACTGCTACATAGACAATTTTTGGTCAGCTGCACATGACGCGTACTGTCAATCAAGTGCAATGTAATACGCAAAGACTTGTTGTTGTAATGTTTATAAATGAAATTCAAACAGTGATAAATTTCGACCGTGCTACTTACTTCCAATATGAGCGATTTTTCACTGGAATAATTACTGCAATCAACTACAATTAACACATCAACTTCTCTTTGTGGTCGAACAACATGAACCGAAGGTAAATTACAACCCAATGCTGAATCGCATAACATTATATTTCTCTTCTTTGTCGAAATTTTTCTGCGTATTCTTACTGAGGCTGAAAATTATTTTTATACAAATATTATGAAACAGTATATTTAACTGTTTAAAATTGAATAAATGAAGATATTAAAAATGCAAATAACAAAAATAAAAAGACGACATCAAGTATTTTTGTGAAAAGTGACGTTTGCGAGAATGTGGTTTTCTGAAAACCACTTTTCCGAGATTGTAGTTTTGTAAGGGCGAACTTATGCAACAACAATTTTTACGAGAACTTACGTTTGCCAGAATGTAGTTTAATAAGAAAGATTAATAAGATTTCGAGACAATGTAGTTTCGCGATAACGAATTATATTGAGAATGTTTTGCGAGAACGTACCTGTAAGTCTTTGTCAACACAACCATTTGCGAGATTAAATTTGCAAAAACGGTCTTTTTGTTATGCGAGAACACACTATAGTTTCAGTAGCACTTGACATTTCACTGGTCGCCCGCAACTTCTCTCAGCGATTACATCCTTTTTCTTCCTAGTAAGTGAGTATACGTGTGACCTTTTTTTTTTTTGCAAATTTTCTTATGAAACACTTTCGCCCAAGGCAGAAAGTTGCCGTCAAATAGTCGAAGAAGTAAAATACTGTTTTAAAATTTATCATCATTCTAACCTTCTGTTTCCTGTGAAACTGGGTCTGTGTTGAAACGAAATTTTTCAAGTCCCATGTAGCTGGTTGCACAATTCTTTACTTTAGCTGTTCGTTCCAATAAAAATGCTCGGCCAATTGTATCTTGTCTACCGAAAGAAAAACATAGGTAAAATTTATGCTAAAACAAGTAGTAAAGTTTGTCGTCATAATTTTATTATCCCAGAATCGGGAGCTAGATCCGGAGTCAAATTTGTCAATCCGGAATGGAGAGTCGGGGTCTGGAAGAAATCTTACTCTTGTTCTTTCTCTCCATTTGCTCGAGCTTCGGCTTTTAATTTCACTTGTTCAATCCAGTCATCGTCGGGCGATGAAAAATTCTTTGTTTCTGAAATATGACAAGATAGATTACATTTAAATTACTTTAAAATACAAGTAATTTATAAATTATTTCTACCTTTTCCACGTGATACACTATTCTGGGTTTCTTCTGCCTCGTCGTCTTCTGAACTTGAGTCCGATTGTGCCTGAAATACCGAAAATGTATTATGCAACACTACAAGTATAATGCTTAAATATATGAAAATGGAGACGGTAGCGGTACAGTTTGAGAGCCCAGATTCGCTAAAAATTGGTAGACTTCCAATACAAGGGCGGTCGAACAATAGAGAATAATAGGATTCTCCTTCATTTAAAATGAAACAACAACATTTTTGGTGAAATATTCGGTCTCATAGGATTCGAAAAAGTCCGTTAGTCGCGAATTTTATTTAACAACAACAATCATCCCAACAATAACAACAAAAAATTGGCAAAACCCCCATTTCGGTTCTTCTTAACCATATTGGTTATAAATGGGATCTCTTTATTGCATCACAATCTCTATTCTGATGACAGAGTCAACTTCAGGTGGACAATGTTCATGTATTACAAGATAATAATTCGAGCATGGATAACTTACCACTTTATCCGCTCCATCCTTTTTCTTATGATGGGTTTCTTCGACTGAGTCTAGAAAATATATTAAAGTTGTGAACTTGAATGACAGGTTCGTTCCATGCCACATATTATACGACCTTTAACCCCGAGTGGAAGATGAATCGACTAGAAGTTGACTTTGAAACATCAAACAGATAAAATAGTTGAGAATTTGGCTCAGGTCATTTGCTTAACGTGGAAATCGAGTTAGATTCGGGGGATATTGACTTGGTTACAACCAGCATGTTCTCCAGCTTGTTCAGCTGAAAACGAGACAGAAGTTACCGTGGAAACCGTTAATGACGTCACAAGAGAGACAGACAATCGAAAAGAAATACCAGCGGAGCGGAACAAAGTTTTTGTTTACGATGTAAACGAATTACAATCACGTGAGGATGATGACGATGTTTTCTTGTGATGTCATCGGTTTGATGATGTCATATACCTCGGCAAAACATGAACTATAAGTTCTGCAGTGATGTCACATATGCTTGGGTCAATGCAATTATGATGTCATGACACATATGATGTCACAATAATATATGGGGATAATCATTCCAAAGACTGTTAGTGCAATATGCTTTTACAAACTTTTTTAGCGAGTGGGTCAAACCTAATATATTGATCTTGAGATAAGACTGTGGGTCATAGATTCATTCAATTTCCGCTCCAGCATGTTCTCCAGCTTCATTTAGGGGGGTGTTTCCAAATTTGGGGGGTAGGGAGGGGTATTAGATATTTGGCTATATAGCCATAGAACTATAACTTGTAAGAATTATATAATTAGGGGGGGGGGGGGGGAGATCATCCGCTATATGGGGTGTAGGGAAATCTAATGGTTGTAACATTACCGAATAGATCCAATGATTTGACTACTCACCAACGTAAGTTTGCAAGACTTCACTTGTTTCAGATTTATCATCAACTTTACTCAGCAATATTGCAAATGCACTTCCACTAGCCCCCATTAAATAATGCAGCGGAGGTTCAGGTAATTCTTTCTGTAAAATCCCGTTTCCCCAACTTGAGTTGAACTGTTCTGTAGGAATGTTGATCCCGTAACTGGGAAGTGAGACCTCATATGGCGTCATTTCTACTTCATCTGGTAATTAGAATGAGAATTATAGTTATACTGGGCCGTGTGGGCAAGGACAAAATACAATCGCCTCTGATTCCCGGTTTAAAAACATTTGACTCCGACTCCAGAGTAAACAAATTTTACTTCGACTCCCGGACTCCGGGTCGTAAAAAAATTTCAACTTCAGTTCCATAAAAATTCGGAGAAATCAAATTTTGATAGCAAAACACAGGCGTATTCCTTCAATAAGCCTCCTTCAATAAGCTTTTTTATTAAACTTGATGCTTTTTGAATTCCTGAAGAAGATGTTGCCGTTTATAATCACCACTGAACGTATAAAATTGTGAAAAACGTGAAAATTTGACTCCAACCCTAATGTAACACAAAAAATGTCAGACTGTCGACGCATTTACACAAGAAGTGGGCCAAGGTCACTGTCACTTTTCATTGCTCGGAATGAGCAAATATTTTATATAACCTACCCCAGAATTCGGACATCGGAAGATATTCTCGGACATGAGCACACGTGAGTATTGGGAAAGGAACAGATGCAGAATCGACATAACTTCTCAACGATGAAAGAGTCACTTTTGTGTTCTGAAAATTAGATGAGTAATAGTAATATAGCTGCATGTATGGTTCGTTGATTACGATGTAAAAAATGTACAATGTTAAGCAACCATCATCCATTTGAGCAAAATTCCCAAGCAGGTGACGCGACTACCAATTTCGTTTGTGTTTGAAGTTCCTATGTAACAATTTCTACACTAATATACATATTCCTACTCCTAAATTTAATCAAATTCGTATACGTCTCGCTTCTGCTCCAGCGTTCTAAAACTTTCGTTAATATAGACATTGGAGTGGATTTTTTTTTAAACTAGTTCTGTCATCCATTTTTCGAACTTCAAAATATATAAACATTTTTTATTATACATTTTCGTACCTCACATCCAAGGAAAGTTTCTCCAAGTGCTAGACCGTAGAAGTCAACGAAGGTTGTTGGTTGATTATGTTCTTTTTTTAAATCTCTGTATTCCCTGGATTGAATAATTGAAATCGCAATAATAAATCTACGGTAATAAAATATAATTTAGCATTCAAATTTTGTTTCATTTGCATAAACTTTATGAGAGAGGAAGCCTTGACTGACTGGCAGATACGTGAATGAATCACTTTACGACTCTGCGGAATACAGAAATCGTCTCGCATATATTCTGAACCCACTCAAAGCAATCAGCAACCAGAAGTTTTTTCTCGATGTTTAGGTCGATGCCGTCGAGATAACTAACATGGACATGGGGCTGAAACTTAGCTGAAACTCATAAGAGTTAATGTGAACCACGCCAGGCCGTTTAACACTTTTAATTTTAAATAAAATTGATAATAACCACTAACGATTATTACATATATCGCTTGTAAAAGGAGAGGTCGAACAAACAGTTTGCTAGACTTCTTTCCATCTGCTTTCTCAGCCAGTCGTGATGTTCGATCAGAGATTGGCGATTTGCCATAGCTTTGTGAAGGTATGTGGTTGCAATGTACCTAAATATGAACTTTAAATGTAATCAAACTGTTTTATAGGGCCAAGTATTTTAGAAATATCGAATCGACGAAGTAACCCCACCCAATATATTTTCAACTTGTTATAATTGGTTGAATCTAAGCTGAAATTATTTGAATTCGTACCATGAAGATCCGGATAGACCAGCAACGTACATAAGAGAATCAACAAGGCCATTTTCTGCCAATGCTTCCATCGCGCCACAAGATGTAGCTACAGCGCGATAACCACCTCCGGTGATCGCCAAAGCGATTGTTGGTGACTGAAACAATGACAACATTGTTGTTACCGTTTCTAGTAAAACGAACACAAATCAACAACATAATCCAATGACCCGGTGAAGATATATTCAAATAATCATAACTAATACAGATTTTAGGTGTTTACCAATTACATGCATTTGAAACAAAAATAACTGGCTAGCTAACCGTATATCTGAGATGGTAACCGGGCAAGAGGCTATGGTACGGCATATGATTAAGTCACATTATCGTCATTCTACTCCCCGGGAAAAATATGAACATCCTATCCTATCATTTTTCGGTAAAATATCTTACTTCCGATAATGATTCTGGGCCTTCCTCTCCTAAAAATTTCTGCAGTGCTTCCATAGTTTTTTGTTTCCTTTTCATCCGAAATTTTCTTTCTCCGTCAGATAAACCAAGAGATAGTCGGAAATCAGGAGAAGTTCTGTTTAAGAAAATGGGGAGGTTCTATTAGATTGTGGTACTTTATAAAATTGACTGGTCATCACTCATTAGTGAGATCCGATTTAGGCGGGAAATGACCAAATTTTAACAGTTGTGTATTATGACGTCACACAACAATATCTCATTTTAAAAGCGAAAATTGGTATTGTTGCGAAAAATCGCTTTTCTTCATAACTAAGGGAACACTCAATTTCAAAATTCTTAGTATATACTTTAAGATGGAATGTCAGTATTTGAAGATGAAATTGAAAATTATTGTTATTTTTTTTTCGAATTTCAAACAAAATTTTCTGTGTTTCTTGTAATTCACGGGTATGTTATATTTGGCACAATTTTTTTAATATTTGGCTGAAAATATACTGAGATATCATTATCCATTTTTATTCATTTGAACTTTGGGTCAATACATTCAAGCATTGCTTTCTTGTATGAAGTGTAATGGGAAAATAAATTTCTATCTTCATTACAGAATAATTCGTAAGAAAAAATTGTGCTGTCATTCAAAACATCTGGCACTCCATACTTCATCCAAAAATTATCAGTTTAAGTTGGAACGATGTCAACTCACCTGTATTGCTTGAGTAACTCAATATCAACTTGTCCATTCTGAGGTTGAAACATAAGAAGAAAAGATTATGGCGTTTAGTGAGACGGAAATCCTATATAATCGTATGGTTTATAATCGAAACAGCAGAAAAGTCCGCAAAATAAAAATTTACAACAGGACAATTTTGGTAAGACCACACATTTGTGATACCGGTATCATAAATTAGTATTGGCGGTGTGGGTGTGAAGAATTGATAAAATAACGTGTAGGTACCACCCACATCGACATTATTGTATATATTTAATACTTTGTTTCGAGTTGGCTATTGCATTTTTGTGTGTTTCATCTGCAAATGAATTTTTGGCACATATACAGTTTAATGATTTCTCGCGTTCACGAATACTTAAATTCTTACTTTTCCAAGATCAATCGTTTTTAATGTTGATTTCCCAAGTTCAAGTTCTTCTACTTTAAATACTTCATCTCCCAGGTGAGGGTCATGCTTGAATTTATCTTCTTCGTATACATCGACCTTAAATCAGAGTAAATTGAATTCTAAAGATTACTGGTGTCCCATACAAGGCCGATTTACCATCACGCAAGGTAGGATTCTCAAGCCTTAGGGTCCTTGACATTTAATTTTGAACTACCATTCATTTTTAAGTTAATATTCTATAAAACTGTTTTTTTTTATAATGTTTTAAACTTTTAATCAGGTTTAACCAATCATTCTTATTTCAAAATGTTTACCGTCTAAAAGTTTAAAAAATTAAATAGGTCGAATAAACAAATTTATCTTAAAAAACTTATCTAACCCGAAAACAAAATATGCTGATAAATTAAACAGTTTTATCGTGATTGAATATTGATATATAGCTAATCGATCTAATCTAATCAATAACGAATCTGAGAATTGAATTTGTCGGTAATGTTTTTCTTATTCGGTGATTAGGCTACATATAGCCCTGAGCCTCGCATCGTTTGAATTAAACTGTAGTCGAACAAATCTATATCCAACTCCGAGCCATTTAAACAACTCCGGATCTGAGTTACAATCCGGATACACAAAAAACTTGATTGACTGTATATCCGGCTTTTGAATGCAACCTTACTCTAGCCCCCGGCCATCTAGTTACGGAAACTTTTGCCAAATATTTAATTATTTAGTTCAGTATGTAATTAAGCATGTCGGATTTGGGAAGTATTTAAGTAAGAATGTGACTAAGTATATGAGTAGATATATTATTATGGAGTAAAATAACACTTGTGTAGTCGTTGAACAATTCCAGCTAACTTAATGCTTGTTTTATTTCGTGTTAAAACTTTTAGAAGTTTTGGAAGATCTTCTTCAAATTCCCGCCACCAATGCAAAAAATGTGAGATTTAAAAAAAACATTCCCGCCACGTTTTAAAATAACAAATTAATAATTATCCAGTTAGCGTTCGGTTAGGAATGATTTGAATTTCCAGCGTAATTTGCATTCCTAACCCTAACTGCAAGAGTTACCAACTCCGACACTGCCCTGGACCTCTACAGACCTGGTACGTTATTTTAAGTCTACGTAGAATTCCATTAACCCGTATCCCGGCCATAATCAGAAAAATTTTCCTCAATTTAGGCATTCAAGTTGGCGGGGTGAATGCATCTATTGGCGGGCACATCGCAACCATTAAGAATGGTTTTACATACCTTTACTTTTGAATTGGCATAATCTTCAGACAAAATGAAAGTAAATGTTTCGTTCCACTCTGGGTTCCGTGTGTTTTTCGCTATTTTAGTTTTGAATGATTTTCGGCCAATTGCAGTCTCACATGTAAGATATACTTGGGCGTCAGGAGTGTCAACTAATAAGAAAAAGAGCGATATAAATTCAGTAAAGTGTTATGAGTATATTCTCATGTTATAAACACCAATAAATCTAGTATTAAAACCAGAGTTTGGGTTCAACCCACATGAAAAAGACCTCTTGCGTTATGTAACTATGTGAGTAGGATATCCCGAACGTGAGTACAAAACATGTTATTATTTGAAATTTGGCCTATTTTGATAACCTCATTGGCCATAATATTAGGGTAGGCGGTAATCCATATCAGACCATAATAACAGCTTTGCCCCCTTAAGTATGATCATTTGATATACTGTTTTCATTATTTTCAACACGCTTGTCCTTTAACCATTAAGGCTTTAGGTAAACCATGCCAGGAATTACAAAAGGACGCTCGTCCAGAGGTGAGTCATGTCGGTCGGTACATCAATGGTAAATACAATTATGGTATGTGCAATATTGCAAATAATGACTACGAAGTAATCTACCAGCAAATATATGAAATGAATGGGAGCTTTTATAACTCCGCGCAAAGAATATTCAAAGTACAATTCAAATAATAAGGCCTTTAGTCAAACGGACTTACAAAGATCATGAAGCCATCCAGCAGATATTTTTCTCCCTCGCACAACAGTAATTGTCAATGTCGTACACCGTTGGTATTGTACCTGTGAATGGCAATGCGGTATAATTCATTATTTTATCTACCATAAATTTTGACCGCTAACTTTGCCAGAAACGAATCTTCTTTACTTGTTAGTAGGGCTGGGCGTTTTTGAATGTCTTATGATTATCGAATCGAAAATACTGCGAATTTTATGTAATTATTAGAGCTGGAAATTTTTGGGAAACGATCACTTCCGTTGACCGGGTTAAATTAAACAGTTAGCCGTGACGTTTGACGTAATGAGTTATAGTTTAGACTGTTGCGATCCAAATTTTTCAAAGCAATTTCGCCTGATCTTATCTTGGTATCGCTAAAAATTATTCACGGATCGAGAATGTTTCATGAGAAAAGCAGCGTACTTCGGACATTGAGAAAGAAATATTCAAGTTAGTTTTACAGTCAGTAACATTCTCTTGGATTTAACGCCACGGGGGATAAATTTGCGATAAACTTAATCATTTTTGAAGAAATTGTACAGTACAAAGGTAATTTGTACAAAAGATATATATATATATATATATATATATATATCAGTTTACGGCCAGATTTAATCGAAACCGGTAACCATCTGAAATCCGTTAAACGGTAACCATTCCCAGCCATAAAAATTGTATATTACATTTGTATTATAATGGGTCTTCCAGAAACATAAATTACTGAAAACATGGAATCCCTTACTCAGAAAGTTCGATTCGAAATGCCTATCCCTACTTATGAGCGCGTTTGACGTTATTCTGAGCAGTTTCGCATGGGACCACTATGCGGTGCTCGATCCCGCTAAATTAGTGCGTGGCCACAGAGACATACTAGGTACCAAGTTTTCTTTCCGATTTACCTTTAAGCTAAAATTGAATTGCGAATTTAATTTTTTAAGCGTTTTGGTGTAAATCAATTCATAGAAAATCGTATTCGTTTAATTCTCCGAATACCTTCAGTATAACGATGTTGAAAAACTGCTTCAATGTGTATTATGGTCCGGAATAAACTTTCAAATATATATATATTAGCAAAAGGCGGGACATTAACTTCGTCCGAAAGATTTTCACATAAATATATTTTTTAACTGTTGCTGAACTTGAACAAAATTTGACTACAATGTCAAGGTCAAATTATGTCACGTTTTAAAAACTTGCTGTAATCAATACATGTCTTATTTTTAAAACTTCATCAGAAACATCAAAACTTCATTCATCATAGATTGAATGATTTTTTTGGCGTTCATTGTATCGCAACCCTACAGATTCTTCTGATATTCACCGAAAGTCGTTGACTAATGAACATGCACATGGGCCATTTATTGATCTCAATCATTTTTATATGAATAATATGTGACCGTGCTTGCCCGTCTGTAGCAAGAATTCAATAGTTTCTATCGTCAGTTTTTGCATATATATTATTAAACTTGCTATTTCTTGTATGTAGCTGACTAATTAACGAGTACATGGGCTATTTATTGATCTTACCATGTAACTAACACTTTTCGACAATTTTCATTTGAAAACTATAACCGTTGTGACCGTACTTGTTCGAATGTAGCAAGATCTTAACAGTTTATTTCTTGCAGTGGTACGGTATCAATTTTACTAATTTCGGTACAAAGGAATTTAGACGGGCGTTTTTGTCTAAATTAAGTCTCGATTCGCCGAACATTGCAAGCATCGACTTCAACGGCATGGCTTTGCGAGATATAATCAACAGCAAACGCCGGAATTTGGTCATCAGAGCGTGTCTAAAGATTTTATATGTTGTGTAAACTTTCGTAAACGTTCATTCTATCGCTACCATACACATTCTTTCGATATAGTTTTTTCACGCAACATACCATTCAACGACAAGGTATCCGATGTCACTGCCGGTAGGCATAGACTAGAATGGTTTTTCCCCGCCTTGGTAATAGTATCAGTATATACCACGCTGATTTCACATAATTACGAACAATTTCTTTTTGTGAACAGTATATTCCCGGCGTGTCAGTACAGTATCCCGCCTTCGTATTTATTTTGTAACGTACATATTTCAGCGCCATTGCTCATTTTTTAAAATCATTTTGCGCAATGAAAATACTTCGATTGCGATTAACCACGCACTAATTTCTAATACACTGGAGAGTGAGTAGACTAATTATTTGACATCTTCAATTCCATGCTTACCTTTAATTCACTCATCTTTCTCTGCAGTATCTCCTCTTCTTCGATCCATTTTTCACTCGCCATTTCTGACGATCGACTCAGGTATCACGGAAATATTTATCGTTATATTTCAAGAGCGTAAACAATGTGTATACGAGTAGCTGGACAGGCTATAAATATATAAAGTAAATATTCAAAAAAACGCCACGTCGAAATATGAAACAAACTTCATAATGCATAACCCGAAAATGTTATGGGAATTTGGCTGTCCACGATTTTCTATTATATATAATTTATTTTGAAACGAACAAGAATATTAAACTTTTCGAGTATAGCAATATATATATAGGAATAGACTTTCTCCGAGATCATCTAGAAACTCGATTTCTAATCTTTCACTACATTTAACAACAACGTAATTGCAAAATGCATGGCTAGCTGCGATCACCACGCAGGATATAGCGTCGGAAACGTGATTATATCGGTTCCAAGTTACGTCATATTACTTGCTTCATCCAATTAATATCACTATATCCGCAGCTGATCTGAATCACTGAAAATACAAAACATCTAAATGATGCCAATGTGTCGTACCCCGACTTGTATTGTAGCCGAAACCGAAATGATGGCACTTCGTTGCTACTCATGTTTCAAAATATAGGACTGAGTCGACGCGTGTAAGCTGATACGGCTGCGTTCTCTAACTAGCCAGTGGTAATAGCTAAGATTAGACTACCGTGTCACGATGTTGTATAGTTAATAAAAAAAGTTAAAATAATGATAAATATAATGATAAAACACGATTCATAGGTACACGAATATATAATTAGGAATAGCACATAATTCATAGAAGCTCTGCTACCATGATATGACACAATATGACGCTGAATAGTATTACATTATAGTTTATTTGCAAATGTATGTTGAGTAAAATTTAAATATTGCTGACATCAGATGAGTATATTAGTCATCAATATGCATCTCATCGGCAAGGGTTGTATGAAAAAGTAAAATAAAAAAAATATATCTGGAATATATTTTTTTAATTTTTAGTTGAAAATACTGTTTTAAACAAGGAAGTCTGGACACAATTTGGTGCTACCGAAGTATGTGCACCAAGATAGCGCACAGCCTGAACATCGTATGTGTACCAGGTTAGGTTTTAGGTTGTGCACCATCTTAGTGCACATACTTCGGGAGCGCCCACAATTTTTGGGCGTCGTTTGCTCGATCTTTTTGTTCTTTTCCGGACTAAAAAAAATAAATCGTCCCAATCAGCTTTTACTGAGATGCCAACGTGAAAGATTCGGCTGAATAATAAACACGCAGCGTTATATTCATATATTCTTTGAAATATACAATTACATAATATAAATTCAAATTATAGATCATATATCAATGTCCTTCATGCGATATATGATAATTTGGCGCTATATAACATAGTTGATTGATGATCACATTGATTATCATATTTTCTATCTTCGGCAGGATCATATGACAAAATTTATTATACAAAGTATGAAAATCTGCCGAGATAATGACGAAAATTTCCATGTTGTAACGATTGTCTTCATCTTGAACAATTTCATACAACATTGTGATTGTGACGTAAACCACGTCATCTCCGATCTGTTGATCACCAAAATTATATTTTGAATTTGTATCGAAGGACATATGCTGCAGTAAGATAAAAGTCGGTTATCTTTCCTAATTTAGACTTCAGTTCCGAGCTTGTGAAAGAAATCAAATTCTGCAAATAAGCTTAATCAACTTGATTTTTGCTTTGGTTTTTACATCAATTTTTGATTTCGATTATCAACATTAAAAGTCTAAAATTTCCGCTCCGGCTCCAGGGAATTAAAAATTTCGACTTCGAATTCGGGGAGTCTGAAAATATGACTACAACTCCAATAAAAACTCTGATTTCATAGTCCCGGTACTTACTCTTTGCTTGAAATAGAATGAATAAGATCGTGAACTTTCAAGTTCTAATTGCTCTAACCATATACTTCCACCAGTGGCCAGGGGGATTTGAGCAACGGACCTTCCCCCCGATATTGAAATGTAAAATAAAAGCATTTTTCTGTATCAAACAGAGCAATTTTGAATCAATCAATCAATCATCATTTTATTCGTCAGCACAAAAGAAACGTATCATAAGAAAAAAAACATTTCAAACACAATAGGAACTTAACTTAAGTTGTGTGACAGGAGTCGCGAGAGACCTCATAAGGTCTTCAGGCAGCGACACCTTAAAAACTCCCTGATTCAGGTTAGTGAGCACAAAAAGTTAATGAAACACCAAAACACTTCAAAAAATATTATAAGAAAAAAGCAGCATTTTCGGAAAAAAAAAATAATAACAAATATGTTTCATGAGTGGTTTGTAAAAGCAAAACATTACAGTTATGAGCATGTTTCTTAAAATCAACAACCAACGATGCAACTTAATGCACTGTATAAATTCATCAGATATATAAAAAGGAAAATAAATATAAAATAATATACTGTATTAATTACTCAAACGGGATCAGCCATTGTCCTGATCACAGGCATGAAACGCTCTTTGGACCCTAGGATGAATGGATCAGGTATATTGGTTCTAGTACATATGAACCCACGTACTTTGAACCCATGACAATTGCACCTGCATACTATTGCACCTATGAAATTTTTTTTTGTTTTACGGATATATATATATTTGAACCCATATTTAACCCTAACCAATGGGTTTTAGCACCCACATAAAGATTGGACCCGCAGATATACACATGGGTTCGAATGTACGGTCACCGGTATATCGCATACAACACAATGCATTAAATTAGTTACTTACATTTTACATGAGTATAACTGTATCAATAAGATTGTCAAGAGTCTTCTTTACCTCCCTTTTTATCTGAATATAGTCATAAATAATTTGTTACTGTTATCGTGCCAAACTATTTCACTTGACTTTTCATACCTTGCGATCTTGAGTCGATTTCGATTTTGTCTTCTTTTTTTTCTTTAAAATACAAAGTATACAGAATTATGGAAATTATAGATACGTTAGTATTCCGTTATTTCGAATTTTCATTAATATTCATATTTATGAAGATTAACATTGTTCACTCGAAAGCTAGGTACATTATTTCAGTGGTACTCTCAGTGCTAGAATGGCTCATGTCATCAACTCGACCTGGACGCAAGGCGTCATTTATTAAAGACTCAGTCTATGTGACATCGGTCAACTAAATGGAATGACTCGTAATACAAGTGCACGATACTCTAACGAGAATATCGGTCGGAGACCGAAGACTTATCGATCGAAGGATAGGGAATCCCCAAAACAGCGCTCTTACTCCATAGGGACACCGTGTGTCAAATCACTAATTAATTAATAACTCGCTAATTATACGACATAATTCATCGAAAATCAATGGGCTTCTGATCCGAGCTATGATGAATGCACATGTAAAATTAGGAGCAGATTCAACCTCGCTTTCGTGAGAAATCGCGTACATCTAACAGACAGACAAACAAACATACAAACAGACAAATACCTATCAACATACTTACCGATCTTAAGATCGATAAGTAATAATTAGCCATCGCATTTATAGCCATCCAATGTGAAGCATATGCATAACAGTGATTATGGGGGAAGCTAACTTAGATGAACATATGGTCGTATCGCTCCCTCCAGTTTTTACCAAATAAAAGTGCTAGTATGGCCAATAAGAAATATGCTGGCAATACCGCTGATTTAACTTAAAACAAGCGAGCGATGGTTAAATATTTGGGCACAAAAGACGCGCATTTGTATCGGTGCGATAAGATGTGGGAGCAGCAGTTCGATAAAAAAATCGACTGTCGAGCAATACGCAATAAAAAGTGTTGAGTTTTAATAAAAAAAAGCATCATTTACGGTGAAATATTAGTTGAAAAATATATAAAGTTTTACCAACTTCTTCCATCTCCGGGAACTAATAATTTGAAATAGTTATATGTGTTTCCTTTTGTTACGAATCATTTTCTTTTATTATATATTTTAATTCACATTTCCTTATTTTCCACTACGTATTAATAACGAATAAATACGGTTAAGGTGCGAATGGGCGGGAGACCACGGGCATATTGTTTTTTGGACATGTCGGGGAACATGTTTTTTGGGCATATTTAGCGATAAAACTCACGATTGGAAAACTGTCACGTGAATGTCGTCAACTTCGCGTCCGACTTTTCCCTGTCCTCAAGGTAACGGAAGGTCGATAATAGTTCATTCATACAGCAAACCACTCTCTTCGTCACAAGCTTAAATCTGATTCACAGAGTATCGTATATCATCGCGTTTTTCACATAAATTCCACTTCACAAGGTGAAACAAAAAATCGCATAATACTTTTGTATCTCGTATTTTCAAATCCCACAAAGTTTTAGCAACATTCCGTTCTGCATGTTTGTACGCGCTTAGGTAGATAGTAACATATTGGTTTCCGTAGTTCAGGTGTGGCAAGTCTAGTTCACGTGCTGAATGAACGAAATCATCATACACACGCCAATTAGGAAAGGATAAGTACTAGATTCCGATAGAATGCCTAAAACGCGCAACGGAAAATCGCACAGCCAGTGAGTAAAACCTCCGTTATTGACGCCATGAAGTACCGGTAGGTTCGAGGAAGCTGATGGAAGAATCAAACAAGAGGTTCGACCAAAACCGTTTCCTCCTTGCAGCGAAGTTACACGTTTCCTAATAATTCTATGAGTAATTAATTGTTTTTTTTGCTCAGTTTTGTGTTTTGGGGTGCAAACTCAACAAATTCATGAATTACCTTCTAAAATTTCCTCCCAAACCAGGATAACATTTACGCTAACAGTGCATGTGGGATCAGTACGCGAGTTACGTTATTGGTTGATGGTAAAGGAAGCGGTAACCGACCAGCGATTACCTTAACCACCTTATGGCGACGAGCAGTCCAGCAATCCTTTTGTAAATTTTATTTTTGAACCTTTATTTAAAACTGATCAAAAAGTCACACCAAGCGCAATACTTGAAGATTAAAAATCTGTGTGCTGGGTTTTTGCAAGAGACAGAATCTTTAGACATAATACTCAAATTGAATTTAAGTAATTTGCAATATCAATATTGTTCAGGCAATGACCAAACTTCTTTTTGATTAAAGAATCATGCATTTCAAACTAAGAGAAAATATATAAATAAAAATGATACAAATGTAAAAACAATCAAACCGATACGAATATATAAGTATGATGATAACTTCTATTTTTCAAAACCACTGAAAGGAAGAAGAAAATATAATTGCACCCACAAAACCTGATTGAAAAGTATTACTCATTAAATAGATGCTTGCAAGATCTGATTGGGATAAATATATGGATATGATTGCAGGCATCTCACACAAAGGTTATTAGTATTATAACTAAATATAAATGAAGAATTTAAAGGAGAGTAGAAATTGATATTCAAAAAGTTTTACCAATTATCCCAACTGTGAAATTTGCCTATTTATGTAAAACATTGCCATATAAAATTTAAATCTTGAGATCTCCTAACCAAATAAAATGATAGTCCATGTCCCAAAAATTTATATCGGTATATTAAACAGGAATTTGATTCAAGCAATGTCTCACTCCGGAGTATTGGCGCTGAAATACTAATATCTACTGAGAAATAAAATAACCCAAAATATGGTAGAATACAGACTACCACAAATTACAGACTGATCAGAAGCATAAAGCAGTTCCAGGCCCTTTCCCGGTAGTAGAAAAACCACAGTTATATCATTAAATAACTGCTGGTATAAGTTACTTTGACTATAAGACATTGATAGATTAGATGAAAACTTCTATTTGTGAGAGGGAAATTAAGATACATCAATGATTAGTAATAGATACAGTTGGATTAGGAACGGCAGCAGCAACAGCCTTTTCTTTTTCTTGTTTTATTGCAAGTTCACGTTCCAATTCTTCAACTTGTTTTTTCAAGTAATCGCGAACTTGAAGCAATTCTTTGTGTCGTTCGGCAATAGGTTCTTGAGATTTCATTCTGGGATTCCAACGTCCGTAATATCCTATCCAAAGATCCAAATGCCTCATTGAAGAAGCTGGTAGAAGAACATGGTGGTTGTATGTGGAAACATAAAGAGCGTTTAGATAGTCATCACGATGCAGATTTATCATCGACCATAAGGATATTGTTTTTTTGCGAATATCCTTATTTTTCCTCTCTTTGTCACAGTTGTAAAGAAATGTGCCAAAAAGACAAGAATATAAATGATCAAGAACAGAAATCAGAAAATGTTCGTTAAACTCGAACGCAGTCGGAAATTGCTGTGTCATCTGCCAAACGCAATCAATAAACTGTAAAAACACAGGAGATCGCTCTGCGTCAGAATGATTCTTGTCACCATGGCCAATTCTTTGCGCAAATTTATGTCCGAAACTTAACCACTCCTTTTCTATCAACACCTGGAATCCTTCTAGTGTTCTGTAGTACGAATCGAGCATAATCATGGACATACTGGTTAACTGAGCTGTTCTATCCCATCCATCACTGCAATGGACTAAAACAGACGCCTTGGCACTTTCAATTTCATGAGCAATCCTTGTTGCGGCAGCAAGAATTACTTTGATATGATGAATCCATTGAGTTTGGTCGAGAGAGGAAAGCCAGTGTTTGTCTTGAGATAATTGTGGCAAGAAGCAGATATCTTGAAGTTTTCTCAATGACTCTCGCATAACGTGAATATTATGTATATCACAAAATATAACTTCAGCATTTTGATATTGCTCATTTTTTTCATACCCTCCGCCTCTTGCCATGTTTGCGACAGCATTCGCTTGGGGTCTTGCATCAAATATTAGAAGTTTATGGGCGTGAGGATTAGCGTCTAATATCATTTGAACATAGCGTTCATCGTCACGACTTCGTTTGTTACTGATACCAATCAGCGGCTGCGAACATCTAGTTATAGTAGCTTGACTTTCAGGGTGAATCCAAGACAAAACTGGTATTCTTCCACGGCTACGAAACTGAACAACTTGATTCAAATGTTCATCATTTGCCGCAGCTGGTACAACAAGTAGTTGCGGATATGTATCACATAGTTCATACTTTGAATTTATCATATTTGCTTTCGTGTATCTCCAACCTTCTACAGGCAAACCTTGTCTTTGAAACTCAGATTTAACGCTGTATAAAGACCATCCATTGCTGCTATCTGGATATTGTTCTCTGTAATTGAAAGCAAAATAAGGCAACTTATTTGATGCCGGGAAGCAATACTCTTGGAGTTTCTCGAACATTTTTCTTCGCAAATAATGTGCATCATGACGTAATGCAAATCGTAGTACACGAAGATCTTTGCAAGTAATTTCAAGACCATACGGATTACGCCCATCAACAGCTTTCGAAGAGCTTGTAACGCCACCAACTTTTTCTACCTTGCTTATCGTGCACAGTGGAACTTCTAGTATGAATGGTACAGAATCTTTTTGTTTGCCTCCACTTTGAAAATGAAGTTTATAATTTGTAACTGCCATTTTTCCCACTTTAGTGCCAGTGTATAAACAAAGATACGTCACATCTTGTTCCAGATAAGCTTTTACTTCTTCACCTGAAAGAAGTGGAACAGCATCAGGTGGAATGTCCTTCATAGCTCCAGAATCCTTCGATTCTTCAGCTGTCTTATCCATATTCTATTTGATATTATCAACTGTTCAGCTCTGAATCAATAAAAATATTATGATGGATCATGAGTGCAAGCAAACACTGAATAAAATTGCAATGGTAGAAAAAAATATTCCCAAAATAAATTATGCACTAAATCATTCCAGTTAGAAATATGCAGAGTCAATGCTATAATAACACAGGGGAAATGAAACTGTCTGAACATTATGACCAGTAGATGCTCATAAAAAATCTGCTTTTCACAAATTGTAAACCAACATTTCTTATACACAATCAGTTGAAGTTTTTTGCTGCATTGATTACTGATAATATGAAAGGTATATAGCGTCAAAAAATCATAAATAAAACATTATAAAATATATTATAGGATGTTTTAAAAATTTCAAAACAGTACCGGTAATTAGAATTGGCATGGTTAAATAACAACCTGATCAATACTATATTCCTATTTCTGATTATAACCTGTTTTAGATTGTAAAATTATTATACTTCAAAAGAAAATACACTTATCTCAGCAGTGATTAAAATAAGCAGAAATAATTAAGTCAGCAGGATAATATAAATTCATCCGGATGAATTTTGATACAACAGACTTTGATAAAACATACAGTCACTGATGACATGTTACTAAAATATTTAAAACCAGACCAAATTTCCTGGATATTCCTAAATACACAAAGAATATATAACCAACAGTGTTGTATGGAAGTCCCGAAACCCTGAGTTTAGTCACGGCCATCAAAGTATAGTGAATTACTGAGTTAAGTCTGACTCACTCTCACCGGCCGTGATTTGATGACAAGTCTGATTCATTGTTGAGTCCACTAGTGTCTTCCCAACATTGACATCTAAATATGAGCGACATAAAAATATGCCGAATACAAATTTGTTTACGATATATATTGGAAAATATAACCGAAGAATGATGTTCACAGCATTCTTATTAAGAAAAATAAATACCAAAAACATGTTCTAACAACAAAATGGTTAGTTCCCATCACAATGCCTAAGGTTGGTACATGATCGATACTGAAATCAAAATAAACATGAGATTTTACAGGTCAAACAGTCAGATGACTAATACCATACATGTTATAAATTGTCATTATTGTTGATTAAAGCCACATGCAAAAAATTATCAGCATTACTTAAATGTTCACTCAACCATTGCATTTTAGAATTGAGAGGGACTTCAATTCCTTGAATGACGGCAACAAAATTTTCCAACTTTTGTGAGGATAAGCACTGTTTGAATATACTTGACAAACAATCATTTAGGCATGTTTCTGATGGATTTTCGGCTTCAGAAATTGGAGAAACGAGTCTTTGAAATACATGATCTTTAGTGTATACACGCAATGGTATATACTTGAATACAGCAGTGCCTTCATAACCTTCCATTAATTTACTATTAATAGACCAAAACTGGTCAAAGTTATTATTTTTCAAACTGTTCCATAACTGTTTATGTTGAGATTTATTCATATTATTCATAACTTGTCCTCTGTGTTTTAAATGGTCTGCTTCTTTCAACATTGACATGAAATTTGCCTCAATGGCATCCATTTGATGATAACAAATGATGCTTTCTACAGGAAAATCTTTGAAATGGACTGTAATTTCAATGGGTGTTGTTTGTTTATCGTAACATAATAAATCCCAGAGAACACCGATCGGATGATGCCATTTGAGTGGGCGTCCATCGTAATCATACCAAATGTCAGATTCATTAAATTCACCAATGTATTGTGCAAAATGTTTTTTAATTTTATCATTGATCAAAGGCAAATATGAATTCCTCTGTAGCATTAAATAAAAAGGTGGCGGTTTTCCTGATCCTGATATTTCATGAGCTGCAGGTGTAAACCGGGCCATAACTGATCCATTCCAAACCTCTTTGACGATCGGCAAATCACTAACCATTGCTGATTATTATTGAGGTAAAACAATTACAGAACAATGATAAATACTGAAAAATTAGGCAATGCGTTAGAAAACTAGTAAAAAATTTTAACAGATTACTTATTGGATTAAGTAAACTCTGCTATACATATACTGAAGGGAGATTAATAAAATTTGACAAAAAAACATTCCATTTCTCGCCTTCTTCATCTTTTACAGACTTAGGTTATAAAATTGATATACAGATATATCCTGGCATATTTCTGTATTTTTATCTGTACTGTACCGGTACGGTACTTCTGTATATTGTAATTTGCTTCAACCGTTAATTTTTTTCCTTGAAATGTACCGGTATAACCAGAACCAGCACATCAGCTGGGGCTTGTGAGTTTCCTTTGCAGGTATATGAAATACCGGTACTTAGCCCGATAGGATTTACATATTTATCCCAGATGAGAAGAAAGTCGATAAGATGGCTTAACCATATGGCGAACCATGGGGGTCTCTTGTAGTTTCGTAACTAACGTACTTATAGTGGGCGTAGCTTGACAATTTTTTCACGTATCAATCCTAACCCCCACCTAAATACACCATCCAAAAATTACGTCAACACGACGTCACAGTGACGTAATAGAGCCTTTCAAACTATACAGTAATGGAGCCCTTCAAACTATACGAACTGCCATCCAAGACGTGCAAACGAGCACCCAAAATCGAACAGTTATTTCTCTCGTTTTCTTGTCGCAACGATTTCAATAGGAGAGAGATCGATAATGTCAGCCAGTTCTTTATCGTCGGCGCCAATGCCATTTCGGGCGATTGTACGTATATTTGGTTTGGCAAGCTCTATGACGTGATTGTGATGTCGTAGTGACGTAATTTGTGGATGGCGTAGTCAGATGGGGGTTAGGATTGACAAATCAAAAAATTGTTACGCCTACTAGAAGTACGTTAGGTACGAAACTACACGAGACCCAACCACGGTCTCTCTTCCAGATACCATTCCATTGTCGGGTTACCATTTCTGATGAAAAAAGCAGAAAGACTCAAACCTACAGGTACCGGTACCAGTACTGAAACTAACAGTTGGGGATACGTAAAACTAACTACCGGTACCTTTACTAGCTCTACCGTACGCCTTTGCGCAGGTGGATCCGTAACGCAAAGATACTACCGTATAGCAAGAGTGAAAACTGGAAAATGACTATTCTATTTAATTCAAGAGTCTTGCTGCACACTTACACCTCGGTCAGACGAAACGTTACAGAAACACATTCGTGTTAGTGTGCAGCAAGACTCTTGAATTAAATAGAACTAGCCTACCGGTAGTAATGACCTACGCTTTTACCAAATATTAGAGGCGCAGTTCTTACCACTTCATGGCAGCTCCTGCCACGAACGAACCGCGGCAGCTCTTGCCATGGTTTTATAGCGCTATTCAGTATTCAGTATTAACGGTATATTCACAAATTAATGTACCAGATTTTATTTGATCATGTGGAATTATATCTACTTAAACCCTAACCCCAAATCAATCAAAACTGTATCCATAAGAAAAACGTTCCAACTTACCCAATATTTGTCACCATAATAGACAGCCCTGTCTTTACGGCCCACCTGCCGCGGTTACGGCAGCAAAATTTTACCTGCCATTGGTTTTCAATTTGCTGCCGCGGTACCGGCAGCTCGACATTGGTTTGTGGCAGCCAAAAAGTCAGTTGCCATGAGTTTGGCCGTAGCGGCCATGGTATGGAAATACCGCCATGGTTTTGCGGCAGCTGCAGATGCCACAGAATACTTAAAACTGCACTTGAAATATTAACTTTGGCCACCACCTTCAGAAATTTCAGACTAATAATGGTGATGATCGGAGTCTGATTTTTGCAAATCTTATCGAATCAAGTTTTATATATAATTTGCATGTCGGAAAATATTATAAAACAAGAATTTCACATCAAAAGCCATAAATATCGTTAATCCACCCAAGAAAGTCTTTGAAAAGTACAGAATTTTTTGTTGAAATACAGATATTTGCGAATTTTGATGTGTGACACAAGAGCCCAGTTGGATGATGTTTCTGCACGAATTTTACCAAACGACACAGATTAAAGAAAATGGCTGGTCGTTATTACCTCGCCTGCCTCTTAAGAACTAAACGCCGTCACGCCACTTTTCAACATAACAGGCGCCTGTTCAGTCCAAAAAGCCTTTGTGGGATCAAAGCCTACCTTTCGTGACATCTAATGCAGGATAGGAAAATGATATAAATACAACAAATCATCAAAATCTCGCATAGATTATTCGGAGACATACGCCAAAGACAAAACATGTTCATAGACGCCGTTCCGCAATTATAGGGTTGCCAACTAGCTTCTAAAATAGACATTCTTAAGTTTGCACACATCATTTTGTCAAAATACCCACATAGGGTTAAATATCACTTTCAACAACACCAGTTTGTCCGTTTCGTTAGTGTATCCAATTTTACCAATTGTTTTCCTATGGCATTCTTCAGGTGCGCTATAATCTGAACTCTTTAACAGTCTGAAAAGAACGAACAAAAACTCGAAAATTAAAAGCAACTGATTCTCAAACGTTGTCAGATTGAGTTAAAATCGAACAAAACAATCAAAGTATCACATTAACAGATTAGTATCTGAACAATGCGAGTATAAAAGAAATATGCAACTTGCAGACAAGCACAATTCCAACGAAATATTAATTTCAAATAAAACATTTTTCAAACTCTAATTTTCCAACCAAATCCAGAATTGAAAATGGATTCTTTTGAGACACCATAAACAGGAAGCATGAGCCAACGACTAAGCCAATGCAGCTGTTGTATTACTCTTCCTGTAATCAGACCAACATTATAATGAATCAAGTGCTCGCGGACAATATTATTAGCATTGAAAGATTCAACAACGTGTTGCATGTGAAATCATTTGTACATCATAGAATTTTTTTTCAGAAATAAATGAATGCTTTGAACAATAAAGTGCATGTTTCACGCACACCATGAAATCGCTGTGTAAAATGTCAATTTCTCTGTGAAAGAACGAAAAAAAGAAAGACTTGAAAACTTTTTGTAGTTTCAAAATACTTGGTACAATATAAACCTTGATTTTTCAGAAGGGTCTGGATTGTACCATCTCCTATCCCATTACTTCGTTAAATCATTAAAGCAATACATTCTTCATTTCGAAAAAATAACCTATTCCAAATTCATATAAACGCTTTCTGAATACTCTTTTAGTGCATCTTGACTGGAGAAAAATGATTATAAATTTTCAAAATAGCACCGACTGAGCAAAATATTTGTTAACATTGAATATATATGTGACCAAACAGTGACTTCATAGATTTTATAAAGAGAATATTGTCAGAGGAATTGACTCCTATAAATTACATGACGTGAATTAAGATTCTTGGGACACAAAAAAGCAAATTTCAGGATGACTGAAAAAGTGAACATCGCAAAATTACCTTATATGGTAATATTAGAAATAAAAACAACAGATACTAACGATGGGGCATTCTATTCAAAAATCGGCCAGGCATGTTTTCTCCGCGACGAAATTTGGGTTTTAATTCATCATATAACATATCATAATATTCTTCCTCAAGCACAGCTGGGTGGGGTTGCCTGGGGCGGGGTCGAAAGTCAACATCATGATTTTTATTCCATGACCCAGAAGGCCTTCGGACTGGGGGTCTCATACGGAATCTTTCGCCTGTATGTGGACCCCGTGGGCGAAAGTTCCCACGGAATGGTGGCCTATGATCATTAGAACTAAAAGGGGGTCTTTGAGGGGCCCGAACATGGGGCTGAAATGATGGTCTCAATCCGGATTTAAAATTGTAACCATCCTGCATTTTTGGTTCCTCTAAATGCCTTTTCTGAGGTTGAAAGTTGTTCCCAATTGGTGGGCCATGTAACTCATTAAAATTTGGCCGAACAGTATCTAAATTATTAGAATTAACTTCATTTTGGTTGTTGAGTTCGTTGTGTTGTTCATGGTTTCGTTTTCCACTATTGCTATTCTCTTCCTCCACTATTATTTCTTCTTCTTCAACGATGACTTCATCAGACATGGGTGCAAAGCTTGGAGTCTGTTCAGATGATTTTTTCCTGTAGATGCAAAAAGCAAGATAAATGAAACAATTTATATGATAATCTGAGATCAGCATTTTATCTATCGCAAAATACAAGTATAACAATTCTTGGTTCATAGATCATTAATAATCCTTGATTGAAAAATTGTATGATATTAATCACAAATCAAGATAAATCAGTTTTGCAATAAAATCATTTTTTAGTCAAATCAGATAAATTCTTGATTTCATTAAATTTTGCGATTATAGCCATTTTCTGTGGTTACATCGAATCGCTAGCAAAACACAGCCTAGGACAAACCAAATATAAATTAAAAGGAGTACTGTGTATAGTTTTAGTATCCAACACCCCTACTAGCCTATGACACATTTCAAGGACATTTAAACTGCAATTTAATAATCTTTATACTAGGATTTGAAAACGAGTTTCCATGCGTTTTTGTTTAGTTCATAACATACTCAACAATTCAAGTGGTTGATATATTCATTCATTCTGGATCACATTAAAATTATAGGATTAGTAATTTCTCCACTGATCACTTTCAGCAGTGTTCACCATAGCCCTTTCAAAAAGTCCTATCTCGATGTGAATTATTCACCATAGTGTTAAATATGTTATATTCATGCATCTTCATTGCTAGCTCAATATTCATGCTTATTTTTTCTTTTTTAATCAAAGCCTTATTTTGTCTAAACAGCAAACCACACAATCACCGCTGAATGCTGATTGGTGAAAGCATTAAAGGCAAACAATTTTTTTTGTAATTTTTCTGTGAGTTCAAACGGCTTCGGCTCTGACTACAAGGAGAACATATATGCCAAACTCCGACTTCACACCCCACGCTGAATTTAATCCAGGTTTAGCTCGATTTCTGCCTTGCTTGTTAGCTGCGTATGCATCGCATCTTACAAAATATACCAAGGGGGCCACAAAGCAGTTGGAGGGCCACAATGTTAGGCACAGAGATGATTTAATATTTCCCTTTTCAAAAAAACTCTTCGTTCTCCCTAGTTTTATCATGTGATAGGGGTATTTCACAGGATGTTTTAACTTTGTTAAGCCTGTATTGTTTGAACAAAATGGGATTTGGAATCTCCTAATGATAATAACGCTATGAATACCACTGAAATGGTAAACAGAGGGCCATGAGTGCTAAATGCCGCTGGACGAGGGCCACGATCCATAAAAGGTTGAGAGCCCCTGAGTCTATATGAAAGTTGATTAGTATGGAAATTGTATGGAAATGCAAACAAGTTCAATTATAATGTTAGTTTAATGGGCAGACTGATAATTTTTTCATACTTTAATATATCCATAAACTGATTTGCGGGCTCTGCAGCCGAAGTAGGAGTTAAAGTTAATAAATTGTCACGGCCAACTTCCTTCAAACTTTCAGTAAAATATTCAACTTCTTTTTCCGCAGTGAAATTGTCGTTCAAATCAATGTTTGTTGGACGCTTTCCTGATTTTGACGTTCTGAATTTTTTAACAAATTTGTGTAAAAACTCCCGAAATTTGATCAAAAAAAGCCGAAAAATTGAATTCCTTAATTTTAGTAATTCAGATAGAGTATGAAATTCCACATTTCTAAAATTCTAAACTGAGACTTCTACATGATTTTGCTTCTTTTTTCAGCGCTCCAGAAGTATGTGTACCATATGGAGGTAATTTTGTTCCCCTACTCTACATCAAGTTGTGTGGGACTGAAACCCATGGGCACAGACAGTCAGTCACAGACAGTCCCCGAACTCGTAATTGAAATAAAATAAAATTATGGCCTAACCCTAACCTGGTACACACACTACATGAGTATACTTTTTTCAGCTAAACAACTAAATTATGCAATGAAACGATTCTTGGCCTTTATGACTAAACTTTTTCATCTAATAGGATTGTTATCAAAGTACTAGTTTTCTGAAACTAAGTAATGAACAGCCGATGTGCAAGGCCAACACAATCCTGTGCAACAGCCAACAACCAGTCCAATTGAAAGAATAAATAGCTATTTCAGTATCGTTGGTTGGAGAATAATCCTGACCCATGGTTAAATGAGCCACAATCGCTCGGACTTGTATTATCATGTCATCTCTGACATCGGGATTCATTGACACCGTTACAACACACAAGATACAATGGAGCATAGGAAAGTCTATTTATGACACTACCGAGGTTGGATCATGTTCACTCCGAACAAGAATGATTCATGGAAGTCACTCATTGTTATAGCTCACCTATAATCAGTATCACGATCGCTAAGCTGAGAAGTTGACTGGTTTTGTTGATTGCTGTTTGTTGTCGAAGCTTTCTCTTGTGGCCAGGATGAATTGGATTGTGACTTCACAGTACTTGTTATGTTTTGAATAGAATTCCAATCGATTCCTAAGTTTTGTAAAATATTTTTGCTTTTTGTTGGCGTTGGCTGCGAAGCTGAAAAAGTTTTAGGAATTGTATTCATTCAAATCGTTTTTACTAATAGTGTTTTGACATATAGGCTATTAAAGTAGTATGATTTAAAAATCAAAGGCTGAGTACAATATATATAAAGATATTAAAAGGCACCAAAAAGGCCTATTAATAAATATGTTCACGTCAGCTATGTATGAACGATAACCAAAAGAACTATAAAAAATGCAAATTCATTCGCATTCCCCATATTTGATTTTGTCACTTTTATTTTTCCTGTGTGGGATGGGTTTTCAATGTATTTTCCGCATATGGGATGGGTTTTTAATCAAGTTCTATCATCACATCCCTTCTCTTAACTATTTTAAAATCATTATAGTCAAAAAAAAACTTACCTGTAGTAGTAGTAGCAGTAGCAGTAGCAGAATCCCAATCATTTTGTGATATTTCGTTTGCTTGTGACAATACTGTGTTAGTTTTCTGTCCCATGAACTGGGTTAAAAAATTCAACGCATCACCACTGAATGAAGGAGGTGGCAATAAAGATTCTTTTTGGACAGGTGACGTTTTCTAGAATGGAATACGTAGTGAACTTTTTACTAATGTAATTAAAAAATTACAGTAATGAAAAATTCTCGTGCCACAGAGTGTGGGGTTTCACAAACTGGGTCCTTCTTCCCACAAGGGGGCTGGGGGCCATGGACTGTTCTTTGGTAATTCCTTGACTGTAATGCATTTATTCTTTTGCTTTGTGTGTTGGGTTTTCACTATAAAATATTAGGTACTCCTGAAGTATGCAAACCAAGATGTCACATAACCTGAAACCTAACCTAATACACAACCTGGGTTCAGGTTGTGCGCCATCTTGGTGCACATATTTCAGGAGGTCCAAATATGGTGCATAAAATTACTGATATGTAAATATGTTGAAAGCAAAATAGGTATTTTTATAAAAGAGCGAGTGTTTGATTTGGAAAGGGGCCACAAATGATGCAAGTTTGAGAATAAATGCTTGAGGCATTACTAGAAAAGCCAATATTATAAATTTCATTCCTCATCGAAATACAAATAAAACATGACATTACCATTAGCGCGGATTGAAAATTTTCCCCATCAGATAAAAGTTCATCCTGAACAGGCGTTGAGCTACCATCAAGCACTAGATGAAGATTTCCCATAAAACTTCTATTTTGCGACGGAGCAGTGAGGCGATTTCCCGATCCTCCGATAACGGGTATTGTATTTTGCCATGATTCATCTTCGATTGTTGTTGCCGTGGAAACATACTTGTCGTTTTGCCAGGAAGATTGTGATGTAATGATAGATGGAGAATTTGTTCTTATTATGTCATCATGGCTTGATTGCGGCAATGTGATTTGGCGATCATCACTATCCGTCACTAAGTTACCACCGGACGCAAATTGTTCGACATTTTCTGTTTTCGATGAAGAATCTTTTTTTGTTGAAATGTTAGTTATAGAATCTGTGTCACTTTCGCTCCCTGTATTCTCGAGTCGAGTAGATAAATTAACTTTAGCGTTCCCGCTAAAAAGGTCAGCGAGTCTTGATTCGAGACTCTGATGGCGAGGGGGGCTCGATATATTCAGTTCTGGTGACCCTTCGGGGGAGGGGGGAGAGGCGGATGGAGTACTGATTTTAGAATCGAAACCAGTTTTTATTGAGCCATTGAAGGAAATAGGAAAGTTGGTTTTTGTGGGAGTGGATTGGATAGATGATTTTGGAATTGGCAATTCTTGTTTGAAGATAGATACTGAAGTGGACGCTCCTCTCATACCTGGTCTCTTGATAAGCGTTCCACTTGGCTGTTTGATTGTTGGTTTTATCTGAAAAACAAGATTTACAATAATACTTAGTGGATTGGAATTAGTTAAAGCCAAAGGTTCTTTCATTTTTTTAAGAAAATTTGTTCAAAAAAGGTTACACTCACTCACTCAAGGAGATTTATCTTAGAGTGAAGTTGCGAGTGATCATTAAAACGGGAAAGCAACTGAGACTATAAAGATTTATAGCTGACATGGGCAAACTACGGCCCACGGGCCAAATCAGACCCGTTGAGTAATTAAATCTGGCCCGCCTGATGCTGCCACAATCAAACTAACGGTGTAACTGACTTACAAATTGCTTAAGATCTCTGCTGTGTGCTATCTATGGCCATACAAAACGAATCAAATAACCCGATATATTGCAATCTTTCATTTTTTCATTTATGAAAAACCTATTTCAGACACCGTGAAACATTTAGAATAAATAAGTAAACAAAACAAATAACTCACAATAGGCGTGACAACAACAGATGCCGCTATTGTGGTTGGCCTGATTGGATTTTGTCTCATTGTGTTGGTATCCACAGACACTATTTTAGAAGGTTTGCTGAAAAAAATTATCACAATATTATATATAAACGTAAATATCTATATTAAATAGAAAAATATCCAGTAAAATACAAATCATTGACAACATAAATCCATGTGTGTGTGTGAAAATAAAAAAACACATCACATACTTTCCTAGTTCTTGATCAGAATCCGACATATCCATATCCGCAACATCATTATACGTTGGTGATTCTTGGGGAGGAGTTTGTGGAGAAAATTTTAGTTTTACTTGATCGAGTAATTTTTTCATCTTACTGACGCGAGCATCAAAACTTTGATATGCCTGAAGATAAAAGATGGCAATAACAGCGGAGAAAATATATGTTTACAAATACGAAATACTCATTTAAATCGAGATATACATTTCGTGAGTGTGGTGGTCTAGTTGTTGAACGTTAGACTTCACTGTGATGAAATCATAGGTCAAATATTTTGTGTTCATATTCCATGCCCACCCACTCAGTATTCACGCAGCAAATAAGCATCGTTTAATTTTACTCATTTCCCCTCAGAGTACACAGGCCATGGTCATAGGGCCTTGTTTCCATGATTTACTACACATGACGGTATCGGTAATTTCTTTTGCTTGTGATGCACACACAAATGCGACAAAGTCAAATATCATACTCAAGAGTGGAAATATTACAGATTCACAGTGTGTGAACGCAGACTCATGTAAATAAACGGCAAAGGCCTGTTATTGTTCCTCTTTTCGGGTATTTATTGGGCGCTCCAGAAGTGTGTTTACTGTGTACCAAGGTAAGGAATATGGAGGTAACTAATTTTGTTCGTCTACTTTACATCAAGTTGTGTAAAGGGACTAAGGTAAAGCCTATAGACAGGGGATATATATTCACTTGGCTAACACAGACAGTCTCCAAACCGGTAATAGAACTAAAAAAAGGAAAATCGAAATAAAATTATGCCCTAATCTGGTACACACATCACCATTTATTACCTTGCCGCTTTCGCCACCCAATAAGCAGACTTCGAAAATCAGGCTAAAAAATTGGGTCCAAAAATCAGCATATTAGCCAGAAAATACGATATTCTTGATAGTGGAATGAAGTTCTTCAACTTTCTAGAACAAGACTTGTTGGGTTGCTATGACTGTATAGCGCTCTATTAGTCACTTTGTACAAAAAACAACAAGGAAAATGACACATTACAAAGTACTTACATTAACAACGATTTTTGCTTCATGGTATTGCGCTCTATAAAACATAGCTCCTTGTGTTAAACTGTCGACAAGTTTTTTCCTTTCTTCGACATATTGTTCATACTCGCTCATAAATCGTTCAATATTCATAGCAGATTCTTCAAAATTTCTCGAAAATATTTCACCACCAACTTTGTCTGTTAAATAAAGATATTTTTCAGATTAACAGAAATTTCAGCTCTCCAGAAGTGTGTGTACCTCTATGGAGGTAATTATTTTTATTTGCCCACTTTACATCAAGTTATGTAAAGGGACTAAAACCTATGGGCAGGGAGTATATTCACATGGCTAACACAAACAGTCCATAAACTCGTAATAGAAATAAAATAAGGAAAATTAGAATAAAATTACGGCCTAACCCTAACCTGAAAATTCAGATTATGATAAGATTGAATTTGAAGATTCATTAAGATGAAAATTGGCATTACAGAAAAGTTACGTCCTCCAGAAAAAATTTGATTCCTAGTTCGAGTTGTAAAAAATTTGACTTCGACTTCAGCTTCGATGAAGTCGAAGAGTTTGAGTTTTCAATGGGAAATTTACCTTTTAATTTATGAATATCATCTGAGCATGATGCATCAACTCGCACATTTTTTAAATGTTTTTCATCAAATAGAACAATGTCTTCTCTCTTCTTGAAGGCAGATATTGTATCCATTAATAAAGATGGCTGTAGAAATTTATAAAGAATAAACATTAACAATATTTTAGAAATCAGTAAAAATAACATACCGTATTTTCCCGAAATTACGCCTATATCGAGAATAGGCCGACTCCCTAAAAACGGCCTTAAAACAACGATTTTATAAAAAATCGCACATAAGCCGGTCCTACGAATTGTTACACGCCAGACGCTTCAAGAAAAACGTAATAGAGAACAAAATTACTGTAACGCAAACATTTCTCACGTTTATCGTTTCTGCATGTTAGCGAGGGCGGTAGGTGGATTATTACCCGTAACTCTTACTTGTTAATTTATGTTAATAAAGTCTATATTGCTTTTCAATGTGTCGTGATTGTGTCGGGAGTTTAAAATAGAGTTCCTGAATCAGCATAAAACAATTTTCTTTGATCGCCACAACGACGATTAATTTCGTTCCTTGTCCGTTTCAAGGAAAGAAATAACGCTGTATTAACACATTCTTATAAATCGCTACGAATCTTAACACGCCAGACGCCTTAAGGCGCAGAAAGATAACAAAATCACTGTAACACAAATATTTCTAACGTTTATCATTTCTGTTTGTTAGCGACGGTCGTAGATCCTTACTCGTGACTCTTACTTGTAAATTCATGTCAATGAAGTCTATATTGCTTTTCATGCGTCGTGATTTGTATTAATGGAAGGGATTGTTGTCGGGAGTTTAAGAGAGTCCCTGAGTCAGCATAAAACAATTTCCTTTGATCGTCCACAACGCGGTTAATTTCGATAAGAGTCCTTATCACCGCCCCTTAACGGATAACATATCCATATCGTAAAGGTGATTAAAAGTCGTGCGCCGTTAATTGCCTCTACGGCGAAAGTGCACCAAATAATAAAGTTTTCACCACGAAACAACTGGCCGTAAATCGACACTGTTGCCGTTATATAAAAGAAACACAAGCGAAAACAAACAATCACAGCCTGTAAAAGCGTCACATGTTAAACAACCAATCACAGACTGTACAAGCCATCAGCGGTATGATAAGACAATCCACTTTCACAAGCGAGTGTGTGTGTGCGCGACGCATTTTATCGTGAGAATTGGTATGGTTTGAAGCTTTTGGAATTACCGGCAAGTCAGCATAATATCATCTCGTTGCGTGATCAAATTCTGATACGTGAATGAGCCGATTTTTTTGGTGCAATCTGAGTCATGCGCGAATAAGACGGTCCCTTAGTTTGGCAACTTTTTTTTTGAGTTTTAAACTCGGCCTATACGCGATCCTATACGGTAATCTCTCTCCACAATGTTATTTTCATTTATTACATAGTTTTGAGTCCCGCATCCACAAAATTGTATTATACCGTGATTCATGGTAGTGGTCATATCGAAAAAACATCAATGGCTATGAAGCAAGACAGCTTCGCAGTCATGCACCAAAGGCACAATAAACATTCAAACGACCGCTTCACCTTATACTCTGCTAAGAGTTTTTGTCTCAGTTTATCAGGAGGCCTGTTTGTTAGCAGTGCAGCATGAAGCTGATCAATAATTTCAGTGTCGTAAATGTTACGACTGCTCCATACATTTAAAACTCTTTCAACTCCTGGTAATATAGTCTTGTCTCTGCAATTAATAAGAAAACAAAATTGAAACTTTGAAAATATTCATCAATATATATATATATATATATATATATATAGAAGGATGATTCATCTCGAATCTGGTATATAATATTTTGTATTGGACTAATTTTAAATATTGAATTTGAAGAACAAAATAAAATTCCAACTTTCAATCACAATATTCTGATGTGAAAAAAAAATTATCCAAACCTCAATTTTGAATAAAAATACAGCATTTAAAGCTTGGTTTCGCTAGATAATATTAATATTTTCCTGACGAACAATTCAGCAAAAATAGTTCAAAGTCCCTCAAATTATAGCAAAATAAAATAAAACGAAATATGTTCAAAAACGCACTCGACTTAAATTACTTACAATTCAAATAGATTTTAATATTTTTATAGAACCTTGCAACGTTTCATAATAAAGAGGTCAAAAAAATGAGGCAAGATAATGAATGCTTTACAGTCAAAGAATAAAAAAAATCTGTCAATTTATTTCCAATTGATGTATTCATTGCAAATGGTGCCTAGTTGAAGGCATTTCTTTGTAGCCCACAAGGAATCGCTCTGTATCTGCTCTGAGGGCACAGGGACCAGCTTAAGAAACTGTGGGCTGGCCCATCAATATTCAATTATTCCTACACCCTTACAAACAAATAAATCATCACAAATAAAATATGATATAAGTTGTTAGTGTTACAACGATTTCACGACCATTCTATGATCTCTATTCAACTAATAATAAGGAATAATGTTCTGAATTTTTTTTTCCATTAATCTTGGCTCAAAAACATTAGACTATCTTTTATAATAACTAACAGCTGATTTTACCTCAGAAATGCAATAGCTTCAGGCAAGATATTTGCAAAATAGTCTTTGAAAACATCAGCTTTCTTTCGTCCACAAGATTGTATGACATCGTTTGCAAGATACCATAAAGTTAATCGGTGTTTCGTATTGGCTAAAACAAAATATTGACCAGGTTAAATCTAAAAATCATCAAATACTACAGTAATTTTTTATTCTGAGGAATTGAACAGTGACCTATTTAGATCATGCTTCCTTCGCCAGACTGTCTCGTAAAAAAAGGGCTTGTATTTATCGTGTCTTCAAACATCGGGAGAAGTCTGTGTGGCTAATTGTATTTAATGCAATAGCTCATCAATCCATTTAATATCAGACTATGCTACACGATACAAAAGTGACATACCTGTCGATGTACCTACAAATCTAACGTACAAAACAAAGTACTTAACGTACAAACAATTCAGCAAGGGTATACACCATATGTGTATAGGTGATATGCGTACGCCATATAAGCAGTCTTATCGGTTTTCTTTTTCTTCGAAATAAATACAAAAATCCTATCAAGTGATAAATAACATTCAGACGTTATACTGTTATAGGACAGTAGAATACTGGGATAGAACGAGACTCATATAACTTATACACTGATATATGGGAAGTTGTCCTAAACATCTTGACTTGGCTATTTGCTAAAGTGCCAAGAGGTGAAAAATAACAATAGTTCACTGCAATACCACAGTTTTTGTATTACAGTATTCGGTATTACAAAGTTCCTAAGATTTTAGGTGTTGCTTATATAATTTCTGAATTTATTGAGCAAGGATGAAAAACTTCACTTTGGTACATTAGCTGATATAGAGAGAGAGAATTTATTATTTCGTCAACCAGAAAACACATAATATTAAATATAATAATAACATAATAAGTGAAACAAAAGTTTTCGGTATGACTGGGAGGTAACGATACGACCAGTTACGGTCATCTGAGACTAGGCTACTAGACAATGCTACATTATCAAAGTACGTACATGTTTTCAATATTTCCAGCCATGTGTTTACAATCAATTCACAATGTACTTTATGGTGAATTATCCACAATGAAAACATCGGAATGCTGTCTTGTGTGTTTGCAACATTCTTCAATTTTTTCGTCAACGATTCGATGCTCAGTTTCTTAGACATGATGTTTGCTAACACTGCATTAGTATTGTATTGTTCTGTTCATATGCGAATGCAATATTCACAAGGTTGTAAGAAATAATCCGGAAAACAGATTCACATCCAGGATGTCGGCTAGTTCCGCAGAAATTACAAAACACGCAGCGGCAACTAAACAAGTTCCCACTCGACGTCTCCGCCAAGTGGCTATAAAATTAATTAGGATTTCCATTACCGACTTTCATACGAGTCAGCAGAGCGTGACGGCTGCTGCCAAGCCGACTTTTTACCACACTCTTGGGGGACAAGGTGATTTTGCTTCGTTTTCACGATTTCGTGCGGATGTTTCGCTGGTTGCAACAGTTTAAGATAAACTATAGATTGGATCACCGTGATCTAAGGTTGTGGCCTGGGTTTGATACAAACAGACGGTCGTACTGGCACCGCACCATACTGGGAGACCAAAGCGTATATATAATATAAGCGAGGCCACGCTCAGACAATGGACGCCATCTTGTGCCTATTGTTCTCGGCAATTTAACACGGCGCCTTATGAGAAGTTCGCACACAATTATTGAAACATACCTATTATTTTCACTAATATGTTAGGTAGAAAAATTTTAGGTAGAAAAAAGGTCGCGTTTTGAAGTAGAATCTTAGCCGTACATGCTTATATCCGTTCATGTTTGCCAAATTACATTTATAGTACATTAAATTGTCTTTGAAGACAAGTATACCGGTTCCTAGTTGCTTCCGAAGTAAATTGGCCATTCTCATCGTCATAATTAACCATTTGACAATGGCGTTCCTTATGACGTCACAGATGAAAATTTGTATTTATTCGTCGAAATTACCGGCGACCCAACCTCGCTTCAATGGCCGTTTCTATTTTCTGGTTAACATTTTTCGTCTGTCAAGCTCCACAATGCCCTACTGCTTAGCTCCAAGCTGTGCTAGAAAAACAAATGACATTGTAGGATAGTTGCGGAGACATTTTACAGCCTCAAATTGGCGTATCACTATGAAATCTCTGAAAAAATGACTAAAAATGGTTCTACGCTGTGTTTGTGGTCGAATTTAACGCATTAGATAGTTTTTTATTCCTAATTGCGTTATATATTTAGATAGCATATATCTTAAAGTTCAAAATCCACCGTTTGGTTTCATTCTAGCCCTTATAACAGCGGACTTATTCAATTCGGTACAACAACACGACGAAAATTTCCCATAAGACTCCATTGTTTCGCGTTTCCCAAATATGGCACAAGATAGCGTCCATGAACTTTTTTAACAATAAGCAAGTTGGTTGCCGGCCGTTGGGGGAGACGAAGTCGATAAAACGAAACAATTATATGGCGTACCACAACCCCTCATCCGGTGACCGTACTAGGGTATGTAGGGTATGACTGTGTATATTTCTTTCATAAGGAACTTTACCCAAGGAAGATCACGCGCACTCACTCAAAGATTGATCTCTGAACGAAGTTACGAAAGCTACTGAAACTAAAAACCAGGGGTGGGCAAATATTTTTAGTATAAGTGTAGCGGCCATGATTCTAAACAGTGACTTCTATTATTGTAACTAAACTGGCAACGGTAACTTAGGGCATTGAACCCTGACCATTTTGGTGTTGGCGGGATCTCTTTCGGCGTGAACCGCTTGGAGGTAGGACGTATAAATTTGTATCTTAACCATTCGGGGAGGGGGGGTTGGTAGTATTATTAATTAGGCGTAGTTTAAATTTACATCATATAATTCTATTTTCCTGTTCCATATAGTTATTGTTGGTCTCTCCTGTGTAATAGCACTGTATTTTACCGGATTACTGTTTGACAACTATTTCATCATTATTTGACTACTATTTTGACTCAACAATAAACATCTTTGGACAATCATTTCGAACTTTGAAAGGAACCCAGACAGTACTGCGTCATCAAAATAAAGTGCCTGTACGATCTATTTATTCCAATCACCCTAACGAGCACATCGCCATCGTATGGTGCTGAGCCGTTATAATAAGAGCCGCATGAAGCAAGTCAGAAATATGTGAGAGCCGCATAATTTGTGAAATTACTAATATTAGAGCTCATTAAATCATTTTGCATTGTAACTGTTACATTGGTACGGTACTCATTCTCGCGATGCACCTTTATGTGGTGCGCGCGAAATCGGCGTTTGACTATTAGTCGCTTCTTGTTTTTGAAATCCGATACTGCGGCAGCATCAGCAATATTTTTTTTCACAAAATCACAGTCAGTGTATGAGTGCTTAACACGAGAAACATTTCATGATACAACTAAACTTGCTTCAGCTACCGCTTAATAAAATTTAAAAAAAAACTGTTACACTCCAGTTTCTCTTAGTTATATTTGGATATAATTAATGCTAGCGAGAAGAGCCACACTAAATCACTGGCGAGCCGCGGTTTGCCCACCGTTGCTATGAACATTATACGTAGTGTAGAATTGTGCATGGTAAATTCTGATTGACGTGGGACGTAAAGATCACATTAGACCAATTTATCGTTTTTAAATACATTTTCGTTTCCATCATCGTTTAGTTAGTGCAATAACAATTTCCGTTACGTGATTTGTAATGAGAAAAACATTGGAATATATATATTACTAGTTACTATTTATCCCAGTGAGGTAAAACCGAGAGGACGATTTATTCTGATGAAAAATCATTAGCTTTCGTTCATTTATCAGTCAAGGTTAGATATGGGAAAAGCTAACCAAACGGCACTTTCATCAGTAATATTCAAAATTGCAAAATGCGCGACTAATTCTACAACAAACAAAATCCAAAGAAGGAATCAATTTGCTTCATTAAGAATAAACATCTCTGTCTACGTTACAATTGATTAGCTCAATTTACGCAAACGGAGCATCAAATTATTTATTACAGACTCTCGACACATGAAATAATTACAATGTGCGAACTACGACCGTCCTAAATGAAAAACCATAAATTAGTAAATACAAAAACGACAGGTGTGACATAGGCTACTATAGAAAAGGAAATATATTATCCGTTAATCTCCTACTGATTTGAAAAGTAATCTATATTTGTGTCGGGCATCAAACTCAGGGAAGCAAATTCTGAGCTACGAAAATAAGATAGAATAACAGTGTACGAATTGAAACATTGATTTATTCCTCGTGAATTTTCTAACATAAAATAGCAATTTTGTTCTAATTTGTTTGATGTTAGCATGTTGTCGCTATTTCCCGACAATATTTATCGTTGGGAACTTAAGATAGTACTAAAATTAGACATTTGTAAAATATTAAATTCTAGAATTTAAATCCACAAATTAACTGAAAATGTTAATTGAGTAAATTGACAGCAGTGCCAGGTCTTAGAAATAATTGTATTTTCGAGGAGTATCTGTTTGTATATTGAATTGTAGACGACAGTTTTATTTGATATATATTGTCTGCTACACGTTCAATAAAAAAAATACTTTCTGTATTATATGAAACTTTCGGGGAACGATAAGTTTTACGATACAAACGCATACTGGGCAAAGACTATTTAAGTCGTGAGCAACCATCAAAACAGATTTGCTGTAATGCGAGATGCGATCCGTCAGCCGGATTCCTAGCTGTCTTTTTTATCCTCCAAATCTGATTATCTTTTGCAAAAAACTCAAACAATATTAATCATTTATTTTAAATTTATAAATAAATTGATTCAAATTGGACGATATTTCTAGCAAATATCTCGCTATGAATTCTTCCATTATTTGAGGGTTTAAGTGGCTAGTTTGAATCTGAATATAGTTGTCCTATTTTTTATTTTATTTTTTTCTAGACTTCCTGTCCATAACAAAGGTCAAGGCGATTTTGATTAGATAAAACGTCTGGCATCCGTGGTTCTAGAAAATCGTTTTTAATTTGATAATCCAGCACCTTTGTCCCCACACCGCTAGACTTCGCAATAAATCCAAATAGACTATTGAATTAAGAACGATTTTCCATCATCGACAATTCCTTATCTGTCACAATATCATTTTCTAAACACAATACGCGTTCTGTTTCATTGTGATCCATATTCCGCAATTTGCGGAAGGCTATCAGGGCAGTGCTTGAAGTTTATCATCCGGTACCTACTGTATATGCGAGCAACCTGAACAAAGCGAGTGAATTTTCCTCAAATTGTTCTGTTATTGATGAGACTAACAGAATAGCTGCGTCTTGTTCTAAATTTTAGATTCATTTCAGCAGTTATATTTTAATTAACATAATCAATCACATTTTGCGGCATTTTTTTCCGAATACGACTAAGCAAACAGTTACTGCAAAGATAAGATAGACGCTTAGAGACTTTATAGATAGACAAAACTGGCATCTTTACGGGCAACCGACTGACCGATGAAAAGTTATTTGAACTGTTTATAGATCAATCGCTCTCGATGTCACCCTGACTTCAAAAGTTACAAACAGCTTGTCACAAATATCGTTGGAGTTTTCATTCAAATATGATAGTTTAATCGATTGCAATCTATTTAGTTGTGCGTTCAACTTATTCAGACTCCGGCATTCAGTTGTTTCTGTTATTCAATGGTTCTTTTTGTGACAGGATGCATATTGGGGTATGATTAGAATATACGTGCACATAGAGTGCTTCGTTGTTTGTTTGCTACAGCTCTTAAAATATGACTGCAGTTACACTGTAGAAGGCGTTTAACATTATCGAGAATAAAGGGCAAATGCCCTTTTTTAGGCATTCCAAAAATATTCAGAATTACTGTCATCTATCAAAATACGACCTTGGAATTTAATCGAATTTTCAAATAAGAGCTCTCCTGATTTGGTATCATGATGAAAAAATTCCAAACAGTGCTTATTATCTCCTTGAAAGTATAATGGGCGAAGTTGTTGTTGGAGTTGATTTTCATCAATTCGGAGATTACCGACTACATGGCCGCGGATGTACTTTGTTGAAGAGTTGAATATTTCCATAACTGTTTTGATCTCCGTGATTCACCGATATCATTGTGATTGAATGCGTTCACTTATGTTGATTGATTTTCGATCAATAGCTGTACTTTTAATATTCAAATTTACAAAATTATACTGCATAAGGAACATTTTTGAAATTACAGTCAATTTTTGCATTTACCTACTTTGGGAAGCGCCGCAGATGATTCGAATCTCTTTGGAACAGTCTGTTCTAGAAAAAAAAGTCTAGCCGGACTGGTGTAC